GCGGTGCGTCGGTGCTCGCCCGGGATCCGAACCCGGGCCGCCAGCAGCGGAGCGCGAGCACTTAACCGCTAAGCCACGGGGCCGGCCCCAAAGGGAGATTCTTTAACAAGAATTTTGTGGAGACACTAACTTTTTGTGTGTGTGAGGAAGATCAGCCCTGAGCTAACATCCATGCCAATCCTCCTCTTTTTGCTGAGGAAGACTGGCCCTGAGCTAACACCTATGCCCATCTTCCTCTACTTTATGTGGGACTCTGCCACAGCATGGCCTGACAAGCGGTACGTCAGTGCACGCCCCGGACCCAAACCCAGGCCACCAGCAGTGGAGCGCACACACTTAACCGCTACACCACGGGGCCGGCCCCATTGAATTACTAATTTTTTAAAACCCTAAAACTTGTAGTGTGTCAAATTAGGTTTTTTAAATGTATCCCTTGCCTAGAATTAACTTTGAAAAAGACAGATGTCACCACAAATGGACGATGGTGATAGTTCATATTAAGTGCCAGGAAGCCACCAACAAAGTGACAGATGGGTCCTTCATGCTATGATTTGGGATTGAAATATTAGGTGAGCCCAGAGAAGAAGGGGGCACACATTTCCCGGGCCGTGGGTGGGAATTGTGGAGGGCTGCTCCGTAGTCCCATCACAGGTGGGATACCCAAGTGTGTATGCCCAGAGGCATCCTCCTTGCCCTGCCTCATCCCAAGTACCAGTGGCCTGTGTCTTAGATGCAATAAAAACTTACAAGGCTGAAGTTCTTTTGGTTCTCCCGGACTCTCTGCATCTCTGGGGTGTCCAAAACCGTCTCATAATATGACATGCCCTTCTCTGCATCTTCTTTGTACTTTTTCTGGGAATAGATTCCAGAAAATAAGGATGGTGAACACTGGAGATATGGGCCAGTGGGACCTAAAATAGCCCTTCCTGCTCAGCAAAGGGAAAGCACTTTGTATTTTCTTCACTGTTCAAGGATGCTAGGAAGTTATAAAGCAGAGCCCTCTTGGTCAGTGAGTGCTATGCCTTTTCTTTCCAGAACTGAGCCTGGGCATTTAATAGGACTCACTGTCATGGCAAAGCTGGCAGGGGAGGCCCTTGCTGGCTAGTCCACATGAGGGAGGTGACAGCCAACAAGGCTCCTGGCAGAAAGATGGGTATGCCTACAGTGAACTGGATGGAGCCAGACTATTCAACAGCCATGTGGAGAAAAGCAGGGTTAAGAGCCATCAATAAAGCCTCCCAAAAGCCAGTCTTAGCTGGTGACAAGGAGATTTTCCCTGAGCTCTGAGCAGGTGTGGTTGGGGTTCCTGGCTACAAGACTGAGCAGGAGGGCAGGCCCAGCAGGTGCTTCCAGAATACAACTCTGACGCTGCAGAAACCAGCTTGGCAGGACTGGCAGCTCTGCTAAACAGACTTGGGGTCCCTACATGATCAACTGACCTGCCAACTGACTGGCCAAAGACTGCGCTGAGCCAGCCATCACTTTTCTTGGTCTTTCCTGCCCCCGCCTGGCCTTGGTCATAGAGATGTGCCCAGATGGGCTGCTCGTCTCCCAGACACCTCCGCAGTCAATCCCCATGACTAAACTAATTATCTCCAGTTCTCCTTTGCAGTGGAACACTTACTTACTCTGCCTTAGGGCCTGATTTTTCTTTTACCACTTGTCACCGAGTCCTTCCATTTTTCTCTCTAGCTTTATTTAGCTCCAGTTTCTTCCACTTTTCAGAGAAGTTTGGGTGTGTAGAGCTGAGGGCTGAGGAAACAGACTAGCCACTTTTGTAATGGGGATAAACTATTCTTTCTTCCTATTTATCTATCTCTATCTATCTAAATTATATTATACGCAAATTTCATTTAGAAGTGTTGAATAATTTAATCTCCTCAAGGACAAGAAACAAAGAAGTAGTTTCAACCAATAAGAGATTTCTGCCTAGATTTTGTTCATGCCGCAAGAAGCCAGTTAAAGCAGATTTCTGAAAGGAAAGGGCAATTCACCAGGAACAGATATTTTCGTACAGGAAAAAGTCACTGGAATGACTCTTCTTAGTTATGCAAATGTTAGCCCACAGTTCTCATTGTTTTGGGAAAAGGGTAGAACTGGTCCTCCTTTTCTTTTCTTTTTTTAAGATTAGAGAGCTAGTGCTAGGCACTAAGACAGGTGATCAGTCCACATGTGGAACTTGGGTGTATTCTAAGAGGAAAGAGTCCCAGACTCCCTGGCATTAGGAAGTATTTAGTATATTATCCTGAACTTGTAGGTCAGCTCACACTGCTTCCATTAACCCCCAACTATGAGATTTAAAAGTTATAAAATACATACTCCCCAATGGAAATCAAGAAGCAATTTTATAGAAAGTACTAGCACCATTCCATCACTCAAAGGTAAACACTAATCTAAATTGGGAAGGAAGTAACATGCCTGGCCATATTTTAGGCCTTGTGGAACTAGCCAGAGGAACTAGCCAAGGCACTAGCTAAGGAAAACCCCAAGAAAGCAGAGTAAGTGGCTTAATCTCTCTCCAGAACAGGCCTACACTCTGAGGTTTTCTTAAAGATCAGCAATGTCAAAAGGCAGCAGGTTTATGGCTGGAGAGCCTCTCACAGCCCCAAGAGTGTTGGGCTCCCTGGCTCCCTCAGTGAACAAAACATGGTAGTTTGAGGCCCATATAATTTTGGTAATAAAATTCTCTCCCCCTCCCCCCAAATAAAAGACTCATTTCTCCCATTTGAATATATCTGTTTCCTAATTAAACCACTCTCTAGTAATAACTATGTTTTTCATGTATAAATTTATGATATAAAATTATATGTTGCCAATAAAAGATTTAAGTCCATGATTTCCCCAACCTGATTGGTCATTAAGAGATCATCTGTGGAGATTAAAAACAAACTGTCAAGTTAATAAACAGAAACTTCATTAAATTGGAGTTGGGAGGCCAAAAGGGTGAGCTCTCACGTCCAAGAGGAAGAAGAAGGACTTCCTCTTCTTGACTGGCAAGAAGTTCAGCCAATGAGAGACTGTCACAACTCAGCCTAAGAGAAGCCACTACACATCAAACTCTCAATTCCTCCAATGGACTCTGTGTTTACAACTGCCCTCTCAACTTCCTCTTCCCCTCTGTAAAAGAGTTTCTCCTTCCTTGCTGCTGAGGGACTTGCACGTGGCTCACCATGGTTGCAGATCTCGAATTGCAATTCTTTGCTGATCCCAAATAAACCCATTTTTGCTGTAGAAATAACTAGCTGTCTATTTGTTTAAGGTCAACAAAACAAACACAAACAAACAAATAAAAACAGATTTCCAGGGCCTACATTAGCCTTACTAGCTTCGAAATTCCAGGTTGGGGCCAGAAAATCTACGTTCCCAGGTGTTTATAAAGCATAGCCAGGTCAGATAACTACCGCTTTAGAATTCACTGATCAGAAGACAAGCAAAAATTCTAATTTGGGGCTACTCAAATAAATTACAGACTCCTGATATCATTGAAGATTAAAACAAATGAGGGTATATCCTGGTGTATGAAAGACATCTTACTTTTCTTCATTTTTCTATTTGTAGGAAGATGGAGAGTTATCTGTTGTGGGAGGAATCAGGATTAGATTGTGTGGTTGGTGTTGACGACTTAATCTCAATCTTGTTAAAGACAGTGATAATCCAAATGTGGATTCTCTACTTTGTTTCTTCCAGATTCACACACAAATTTTACATCCACATTATAAGAGACTTTACATGTTAAAATATTGATTCATTAACTATGGGTGGTACCATGTAAGAGTTCTTCAGTACCTTAATATTCCCTCATATAATCCATTTTAATTCTGATACAGAAATCTCAACTATGACTCAAACTTGCATCATAGATGAATCCCTTCTCTTTTATTGGGCAAAATTATGATTTGAAAGAACCTACTTATGTATTAATGGAAAGACTTTTGTTCTTCATGATTGCCATCAATGAGTGATATTCTGATGAATGTCTTTACCTGGCTTGAAAGGTTCTTGACTTGTTGCGCGTGAATGATCTCTGGAGTATCAACCACAGAAGTGAAATTGGCTTTTTCCATTTCTGCTGATTGCTTATACTTAATCTACAAAAGAACATTCAACAACTGGGTAAATGTTTACAATGTGTACAACATTTGTTGGCTTGGTTTAATTAAGAGGTGATCAATATTTATTTTCCAAAAAGATTCATTCATTTGACATTCAACAGATATTTTTTTCTATTGTGTTTATAGCTTTATCCTAAAGAGTGAGATTCAAAAAGAAAGGTTGTGTCCTAGCTGTTGAAAGACTTACTATCTAGTTGGGAATGGGGACCGGGAAGGGGGAGGGTAATAGGAAAGGAGAGAGATAATCAATAGATAGTAAGGCATGGATTGTTTACATATATAAGAACTAGAAGAAGGACAAGTAAGCAAAAGACCCACACCAATCAGTCTAAGACAATGTAGGACGCCTAAAAACTGTGTTTTAAATTTAGGTCTTGAAAGGAGGGAAAGAAAGAACTTTCAAAATATTCTAAGCAAGGAATTCTTGGTGCCAAATGAGGAGTGTATTGACTAACAGACAAGGCCAGGATGTCAGAGTCCACTCCAGCTCCAAGCAGCTGTTTGGTTCCCCAACTTCTGCCCTTTGTTCTGAATATCTCCTGTGGCTATGGACTCAGACAGGCAGACAAAAGCCGGTCTGGCGAAGGGTCCTTGATCCTTCTGTTGGAATGGATCCCATCAGGCAGTTGTTTAAGAATGTCACTATGTGCTTGACTATCATTGACCAACAAGTAAGATAATAGAAGGACAACATTGCGACCTTTTAATAGCAACTACTTTTTTGAAAGATCGACATGGAATAGTAACACTGACCTGGCTGGCAATATCAGTAGCATTCCTGGCCCTCATAAAGTCGGGAGTTTCATTGGCCATGGCATTCAGGCCTCTTCCTTTGACTTCTAGCTCCAGATCTCTCTTATATTCTTTCTATAGTAGCATTAAAAAAAAAAGTTACCAAACTTCCATGAATAGGTAATAAATGTATAGAATGACCATAAATCCACATAATATGCCACGTCAGTTGTTAGTGTTCACATTCACCATTCCATGTGGTAGGATAGAGTGGTGACTACTGAAGCCCACTTTAGGAAACTACTCTACTCATGCCAACACGAATCAACGTAAGGCCTGCTTTTGAACACTTCTAGCATTCTCTACTTAGAAAATTAAAGTATAAAGCAAATTTTAAATCTGATTTGCTATATAACTAGGATTGAACTTTGGTGCACATCAATCAGTGTGGTGTTTTAATTTAAATGAGCACACCAAAAGGATCAAGGTTAAATCAAATACTATTAGATAAATAACAGATTATGATAGCCACTATAGACACAGACTGTTATAATATTAACTCATCAGAAATTGAGATATATTTTATTTAATGGTTAATAACCATGTTGGATGTAGAATCTGACGTTCAAAACTCTCTTTTTATTTCTTCCCTGGTTTTTTTTGTGTAACTTGGCTGGAAAGGAGAAGATGCTCTGTTAATTATGTGCATGCAGTTGGCTGTGGGCTCACCTCATTAAGGATATGAGTGGCGTTCTTGGCTCTTAGCATGTCAGGTGTGTCTTCCATTTCACAGAGACCCTTCCCACGGATGCTTTCCTCTAGATCTCTCCTATATTCTTTCTATATCACAAAATAAAAGCAACAACATGACAAGAAAGCTTGGATTATTCCTCTTAGGTGAAGAGCCAAAAACACAAAAGACAAAACACCCTTCCAATTTTAAATATTTATAGTTTAATAATTGAAGATATGAATAAAGGCAGGGTATAAGCTTCATCAGTTAATAGTAAATATCAAATAAGAAACTAGAGATTAATATAATGCTAGGGCAAGCACACATTATTAGGTATTCAATTAGAAAATTAGAATGAACATGGGTGATAGACTAGGTAGTAGTACAAAACATGTGAACCCAACTTGAAACCCACAAAGTTAGGTGGTGATGAAGATGGTAGAAGGAACACATTGATAAGTGTCATTAGTGCAATTATTTGGATCAAGAAGGAAAGAAAAGATCAAGTGGACACTACCTCACTGGCTATTTTGGTTGCATATTTGACATGTAATAAAGCTGGTGTGACCTCCAGGCCAGTCAGGTTTCTGCCTTTAATGGACTCTTCATATTCTTTCCTATATTCTTTCTAATGTGAGTAGAAAGGAAAGACAAGTTAAAAAAGAATCTTTATAATAATTTATTTCTCAATTCTAGGAAGAAACAAAATTATAACATTTTCTTTCTATGTACGGCCTCTTAAATTGATCATAGTTCTGCTAATGGTCACACATTTGAAATGTGTCTGATTGTTCTGGAGATACTTTGTTTAGAGTAAATGGCCCCAAGGAGACTCCTTGGGGAGACTCAGAGGTTGAGAAACTTTGTTGGGTTCCTCATTCATCTGTCTAATATTGTGACTGGGGCTGGCCCACCAAAAGAGCAGAAGGACAGATGTGCCATCAAGACTCTGAATCCATTGTCATCTCTTCTGATGACATTTTTCTTAAAGTAACAAAAGATTTTACTTTTGAATTAGAAGTGACTCAAGGGGAAAAAAAACAACCCAGGGGAAGGAAAGCTTACGGGAATCAAAGGAAATTTGGACTTTTTCATAATCATGACCTATTATTTTTAATCATTGAATAGATAAGGTAGGCAATGAGGCACAGAGAAATCCTAAGGCTTTGTCCATTGTTGAGAGAAAGGGCCACAACCTCCCCCATCTCCTCTCCAATCCCTGGACTTGGCTGTCTCACCAGGAGGCATGGAATAAATGTTAGAATTTTATTTTTATAATTTTTAATTTTGATAGAATTTTAAATTTATAGAAAAGTTGCAAGAATAGTGCAAGGAACTCCCATAGATCCTTTACTCAGATTCACCAACAGTTTGAAACTATTTTAAGCTTTTGATTTTCTGGCATTCTATACATTAGAAAGCTCCACACACTGCTACTTTTATTAAAAACCATTTATCTTTATAGTTGGAGATATGCCGCATGGGGGAGAGGCAAAAAGAAATCCAAAATAAGCCTGTTTCCCAATGAAAACACCTTTTAAGATTCAAAATAAGATTCCATTCTTCTCCGCTACTGGTTAAAAAGGAAAAATAAAAATTTAGGTGCCTCTGCTTACATTTCTAGAATAGGAAATCTGGCATCTTGACTTTTGATGTTTTGATAAACATCTTGATCACTAATCTTTTGTCTGACTTGGGGCTTCCTATTAAGAGAAGAGCAATCCAAAGCCAATGCTGTGTCTGTGCAGAGGAATATAATTCTATGAAAATGATAGTTGAAATAAAACATATATGGTAAATATTTACTATTAAGACCATTTTTTATAACTGAACCATAGGATTTCTGAGATGAAAACTATTTTAGTGATCACAAGTTAAAAAATCCCATCCTCAACAACTTTTGGATAATACAAGGCTGGACATATTTGTGGGCAGAGTTTGTTTTCATCCGTCTGATGGTATGTTTGCTGTGTGGCATGTTTTTGTAGGACTCACCCCGCTTTGCATTTGCTGAGACTCTTTGGCGGTGATGTATGTTGGTGTTTCAAAGTCCAACATGGGCTTTCCTCGTTCCTTTTCATACTTTTCTTTGTATTTCACCTAGTGATGAAAAGCCTTATTAGATATCTCTCCTCTCTTCAATTTGTAGACAGAAACCAGTTTAGGATTAGTATTTTTTAGTTGATACATTATATCTAATTGGGTGCCATCTCATTGCCACTCAAAACAGTTTCCTGTTGTGTTTCAGATCTAGAACCTTTTTGGTGCTGCCTGGGGGGAAAACACCATTACTGTCTGCAAGGCATAACCAGGATTTGTGTTCGGTTCAAGGAGACGAAAGAATCACTGCAGAAGAATTTGCTGAGAGAAACGCTGATGCAAGGAAATGCGTGGGGAAAATCGCCCATAGATAAGATTGACCAAGATTTACGAAACCGGTGGCCAGATAGCATTAATGATTATTCTTAAAAGTCGTGTAGATAAGCAATATATTATCAGACTCCCACTAGGTGCCTTATAGATAACATCTCTGATGCTTGGGTCACCATGGTAACAGGTGCTTAAGGTGTTTTTCAGGAACTGAGGGTCGAATCCTTGTCCAGTTCAGGCCAGTTAAGACTATCAACTCATCAAATTGGGCCTGCATGATTAGGTGATAGGTGACCCTTGGACAACAGGGGGCCAAAAACTCCACCCTCAGATCATGCTAATGCCACCATTTTGTGAACATACATCCTATGAAGAGCCATGAAGCCTGACTACACTTGTATTGATCATCTATTACCTCACTTCTCCTTACCTCTATTCATCTATCCCTACACTTTGGACAACTTTGCCCCTTTATCCCATAAATATCCCTAATCCCCATTTTCAGGGAGGTGAGACTTGTTCTCCCATCTCCTCACTTGGCTACCTTGTGAATAAACTCTTTCTCTGCTGCAAACTTGTCATCTTTGTGATTGGCATACTGTGCAGCAGGCAAAATGAGCCTGGTTCAATAACATTTGAAATGTGTAAATGTGAACATTTTAACCATAGCATTAATTGATATTTCCCGTAAAATCTCCAGTTTTTCTTTCATAAGAACTTTTATCAGAGACCTGGTGTCTTGCTTGAATAGATAACACTTGCAACTTTACTTATAAGTCATTAACTCTATCTGGGTCATAACTGATCACATATTTAATGCAGACAATGTAAATTGGTATAAAAATGAAAACTAGGGGCTGGCCCAGTGGCGCAAGCAGTTAAGTGTGCGGGCTCTGCTGCGGCGGCCCGTGGTTCGCCGGTTTGGATCCCAGGCGTGCACCAATGCACCACTTGTCAAGCCATGCTGTGGCGGCCTCCCATAAAGAGTGGAGGAAGATGGGCATGGATGTTAGCCCAGGGCCAGTCTTCCTCAGCAAAAAGAGGAGGATTGGCAGATGTTAGCTCAGGGCTGATCTTCCTCACAAAATAAATAAATAAATAAAATTAAAAAAATGAAAACTAGTTTACATGTTGACTGACTTACTAATAAACCTGACATTCTCAAAAGACATCCAATGCTATTTTACAAATACAATATCCTCGTCTTCATAACATAATTAGGAATGATGGGATCATATAGATATTCATATTTTACCGAGGAGAAATTGAAAGACAGAGAGGCAGAGGCCCTTGTTCATGTAGCATCTTAATGGCAATCCTCAATCTCAGCTCTTTTTCTTGCAGCAAAACGTTAGAATAGAGGCCTGGGGCACATGCTACTTTAGAGATGACATGAGGATATTTCTAGTAATTTAGCTCTCTTGGTTAATGCCCAACAGGGGGCCTAAATAATGCTGAATTTGTCATATAGGAGGTCATGTGATAGCAAGCTCCTTCTCTAAGTTCTTTCCTCTGAGACTCTTAATTATTTTACAAATTTTGCAATTTCTTAAATACCCAGCGACTATTTCAATGGTGGACCTGATCATATCCTTTCTCTGCTTAAAATCCTCCTAAAGCTCCCTATCACTCATTATAATGTTTGCTAACCTGGGGTGCAGGCTCATGGGGGCACATCAGTGTTATTGTAAGAGGGTTGTCCCCCTTATATCATAATCTTTATGTTTCCACTCCCTGTCGGTAACCTGAATAACACACATTGCATGGATACGCACTATTTCTCCACTGCACGTCAATGCTGTTATCATTTATAAAATAAAATTTTGTTCCCAAATGTTGCTCAATTCAAAACCCCTTATATCTTTGGGCATTTTCTTAAGCAACGGTTACTAAAACTATAACTACTACCTGGGAGGGAATCCATGAATGTTTTTTACATTGGAGATGAATGTGCGTTAGGAAAAAAGTCACTCAATCTACTTACTATACTCTGTAATTCTGAGGCCTCTTTCAAATGAAGCTGCTCCAGGTTATCGGGGATTGTGTGGTAGTGGCCTTTACTCTTCTCGTAGTTCTTCTTGTACTGGTACTGAGGGGAAGTTGGCAAAAAAGGCACATTGATGGGAAAGCTGCTCAGCATTCCTATTTTTCCTCTTTAGATTAGACATTTACACCACAGCATCATCAAGACCAAATTAAAATCAGCAAACACTAAATAGGGGATTAAGAAAAAGTTTTAAAGGCTGAAAGTCCATGTTCAGTATTGTCAGTTAACACAGGATGTAAACACTTAGGTTATACGGCTTATTCAAAGTAGGTTTTAGAAGTGAAAAGTTAAAAGTGAAGGAAATTATTTCAAATGGTAATTCTGTGTTCTTAGAAGGAGGAAAGCGATTGATTAATTGGAAAAAAAAAGTTTAAATATTCTAAAAATAGAAGCATTTTTATATTCTGAGAGGTGTTAGAGTCAGTGGAGAATTGGTAGATTAGTGTTGTAATTTGGAAGAAGGCACTCAAACAAAAGAAGAGCTTTCTAGTAAATCTAGTGCCTCAGTTGTAGAGAAGGTGATGAATGTGAGCTCAGAGAGGGAATTTAGTTGCAAATGGATGAAACAAGCTGTTTCTGGAGCAAATGGCTGAACTTACAGAACTGGCAAGATGGCTTGTATTCAGGACATGATTCATTATCAGAGATTCCTTCATGTCAGTCACAGGTTTGTGAAGTTTCTTCAGGTCAGCCTTATATTTAACCTGTATGTTAAGGGGAAAAAAAGGAAATCACATAAATAGGAAATGGAAAACAGTACTGATGGAAACCCTAATAAGACATCCCATCCTGATACAAACACTGGAGATGGTGATGAAAAACTCTACCTCATTCACAGTAGCCAAAAAGTTGAAACAACTCAAGTGTCCCTTGACAGATGAATGGATAAACAAAATGTGGTATACACATACAATGGAATATTATTCAGCCATAAGAAAAATGAAGCTCTGACACATACTATAACATGGAGGAACCTTGAAAACATTATGCTAAGTGAAATAAGTCAGACAAAAGAGGACAAATATCGTATAATTCTACTTATATGAAATCTCTAATAGGAAAATTCATAGGAATAGAAAGTAGATTAGAGGTTACCAGGGGCTGGGGGGAAAGGGGAGTAGAGAGTTATTGCTTAATAGTTATAGAGTTTCTGTTTGGGGTGATTAAAAAGTTTTGGAAATAATGGTGGTAGTTGAACAACATTGTGAATGTAATTAATGCCGCTGATTTGTACACTGAAAAATAGTTAAAATAGTAAATTTCATGTTATATATTTTACCACAATTTAAAAAAACATACCTCACTTGCGAGATTATTAGCATCTTGCATGACTTTGTAGAGCTGGCTTTCTTTTGGATTGTATTTTGGTGTCTTGCCCTTCTCTTTGTTGAAATTTTCTCGGTACGTAATCTAACCGCAAATGCAAAAATCCAAATTATTCCTTAACATCAATTAATTTGAAGACTGAGGAATGGAGGAAATATAAATGCAAAAGAATATGTGTTATACTTAAATGATCATATGATTTATCATCCAAACTAGGACACTTTTATGAGTAAAAGGAAGCACTATTAATAATTATATTGGGACAACAGGCAATCAAGAAAGAGATCAAGTGATATTGTATTTGCTTGCTCATTTTTATATTACTCAGAGGTATAAAAGATAATCACCTCTTTTTAAATGCAAAACAAAAATAAGTGGAAAAAGGCTTCAAACTAAATTCAGAGACGGGATCTAACACATTTGATTCGTTATGTAATATACATTTGATACATTTACATAAAATGCAAAATTTTGGCCCTTCTAACTGCAAAACCAAAAGCATTTCAGGTCTACTGCAAGGAGTTCAAAGAGAGGCTGTAAATGATAAAGAAGAGTGAGAAGTAAGGAATCTGTTAAATTTGGAGAATTTATTGTTATTTTAAAATAGAACTTAGGCTATATTATTTTAATTTTTTTAAACTTGGCAAAAAATGGCATAACTTCTGAGTAAAAAAAGTACAGAATTTGGGGGTTGTCTTCAGTACAATTTTAGGCTAGAAGAAAGAAAGAAGTGAAATATTTTAGAATAGTGAGAAAAATAAGATTAAATATACTTTTAGGATACATAAAAGACTATGTAAAGGATGAAATAACTTCAATTTAAAAAATAAGCACAATGCCAGCACTAACGGTTCCTCAATAAATGCAATTTGATTGAATGAACGGAAGATATAGTCACCATGGCTAGGTAAAATAGCTAAAGAAGATGATTTATTTATAGAAAAATTCAACAGAATAAACTGCAAGTGACAGAAACATTTCTTTATTGAAAATCAGACTGATGCCTTTGTTGATAGTATTCTAGGATGAGGTCCAGAAGTAGAACTCCACTAGTTATTCACTCTAGGAAGAAGGAAAAATGAGCTATTTCTCGATGTTAGCCATCTAAAAGGGCAATATTTGACTCTCCAGGAAAACTAGAGTTTCTGTTATTGGTATGATGAAAGCCTCACATCTTCAAAGTTAGCACACCAAGATCCAGTCACCCAGATATTTCACTCTGCAGACATTTAAAATCAGAAGCCCTCATGCTTCATGACTTGACTTCACTTGCCCCCAAGTTTACATATCCAGCAGAACAGACAGGAAATGAGATCACTCAAATGCTAAGAACAATGAAATCTGCCACATCAGAGAAAATGCATTCACAATGCTGAGATTCATTTATTTTGAATAAATCTACAGCGGAAATACACGGGAAAAATAAGCATGCAGAACAGTACAACGTGATGCAGGCACACTGAGACAGACACACAAAGGAGGAAGCAGAAACACAACACAATAGGAAAACAAAATGTAAATGAATGCCACAATGGCCCTTCTCTGAAAGGAAATTCACTCTCAAAACGAAGAAATGAAAAGCCTGCTAAGGAAAGCAGGAGGTGGTGAGCTGGTGTCTGGACCAAAACGAAACTTTTCTTAAGGGATATAGAAACCCATAAGACTAAGGCTGATACCAAGAGCTGTGAAACACAGAAAAGCAAAGTAACTAGATGTGCGGAGTCAGACTGGGGAAGAAAAGATGCAAAGATGTGTCTCAGATGAGAATAAAATTTGCTTCTTTTAGAAGAATGGTGAAAGTCCTCTTTTCAACTTTTAGAAAATAACCGGTTTCTGAAGAACTACTTATTTAAAGAGCAGCAATTCCATTGGTCTCACTTCAGTTTCTTTTTCTTCTATTAATTTCAAGTAAAATAAAATTTCCAACTTTTTAATTAAAGAAAACTTATTCCTCCCCTCTCCACAAGAAGGCCCCCACACAAATGCAGCCTGGAGCAACTCTGGATGATATGAATCTGAGGTCAGAGCCTTCCTTTTTGACTGGATCTCCTTAAGAACGACTACATTTTGCATGATAAGGACACACATCAGATTCAGGACACCAGGAAGTCTTAGAATGGTGTCAGACTAGGCAGTAAGCGTAGTGAAACTACATACATGTGGCATTATGGAATGGTAAAGCTCTCTTTTTCCTGTTAACCATATAAGGCTGAGAGGCAACCATGCAAGGCCGTGTATCAGCAAGAGGCAACACCAGTGTTTATAATCCCATCAGGCTCAGATATCGGCCTATTATGGATGTAGTAGAGGAAAGTGGTTTTGAATCAATTATTCTTCCAAAATTTAATTGAATTAAAGATCTAACATCCAATAGTTCAGCTCCTTTTCAGGGACTTGAACTGTATATTGGTGCTTCTAAAGACTGAAGAGCAGGTCCAAGAATTAGACAATGTGTTGCTGTTAAGACTGTAAAACATAGGATGAAAGAGCTGTGAGTGAAAACATTTTAGGTAGTTTATTCTGTTGATTCATAGTATGCCTGACTTGAGAGACTGTATTAAATACCAGTCTCAAATATACCAAACATTAGCAATGGTAATCAGCAGAGATTTTCTTTGTGTGGTTGAGATTAGATTCCCAGTTCGTTTTTGTTTCATCTTTTAATTTGATTGGTATCAGCAACCTAAAGTACATTGGGAGGCTATCTCCAAGTCTACTCTATCTTCCTCTTCTAAGTGGCATGTTCCAGCGGGAAAGTTTCATGCAGGAAAAGATGGGTGTGTGCAAAACTATATCCTCTGACAAATTTCCACAGCATTCTACACATTTCAACACAAAATCAAACGAAAAGAGTGCAACTTGGTCAGTCACCTGACCAAGGCCAAGAAAGGAGACGAGAAAAAGAGAAAGACAGAGATATGGGCTTGTTGGTGTCAGTCTTACATCACTGAGGAGCGCATTAATTTTCTTAAGATGCCTCATCATAGGGGTGTCATAAGATGCGGCGCCGTGCCCCTGCCCTCTGCTTTGGCCTTTGAGGTATTCTGCCTAGAGTATGCAGTAAGACAGCACAGTCAGAACAGGGAGGGCCCACACACAGGGGAAGCCCCCTTGGGCCAGGGGCCACACCGTGAAGCTGTAAATCCTGAGGCAAACCTCTCACAGGAAGTAAACCCAGGAAGGTGAGCTCATAAAAGGATCTGGTTGGGTCTCATTCTCCACCTCATAGGATTCACTTAGGATTTAGAAAATTGAGTCTCTCTATTTTCAAAAACAGCAAAGTCTTCAAACTTTCAACATCAAAGTCATTTCTTTGTTTTCAACTTGATAATGTTATGACCTCAGAAATTTAAAAACATACCAAAATTTTTTACATTAAAAAGATCTCGTTACATTTCATTACTCCTGTTTTTTGTTGGTGATTTCACATCTTGGTCTCAAACGCTTATACAATGCCATTAATTTATAATAAAAATACTGCATGAGTTTTAAATTCAAAAAGTTTAAAAAAATCATATTTGCTTGTCATCAGTCATCTGAACCTTTTGTCTCTTCCTAATTCTGACTTGTTTTGTCACTTGATATTACTACTTTATATCTTCCAAAAGATTGGAATCTCATGTTTGGTATTGTTGAAAGTCATATGTACAACAACCAAATGTATCTCAACCCATGTCTTCGAACAAATACTTGAGAGAACAGATAATGAAGAAGAAGAAGGCAGGATCTCTAAACGGGAGAAGAAATAAGATATTCATGAGCTCAAGTCCTAGAGGACTAAAACTTGCTCTCTGAAAGATCTGGTGGTGGATTACGGAGTCTCTGAACTAAAGTCTGAAACCTTGTCATATCTCAGGGGTATGCTAGATAATTGGTCTAACAAGGGAAATTAGGTAATGTGGCAATCAGGTTTAGGCAACACATTTCTGAGTCCACCTTCTCAATAATAGGAAATCTGCTAGAATGAGGCATTCCCCCTCAGCACCCTGTGCATACCTTGATCAAACACTTACTCCAAATTGTACTTATTTATCCATGGACAGATAGTGAGGACATCTGCTCACCCCTAGTTCTTAGCATAGGCATTCAATATATGTATATTGAATGAAAGAATAAAGGTGACTGCATCTGATTGGGTTCTAGAAGGTAGAATTTCATGGCTCTTGCAGGTTAGCAAGTTCCCACAGGTGACTCAAGTATGAATCAGGCCCTTGGGATGTAACTCTCAGTGCCTGGGGAGAGGTTCCAATAGGACCTCAGGAGCTGATGTTTGTGTCACGTGAAGATAGTAAAGCACACAAACACCTAGACACATACCCATAAATGGAAAAGTGGAGAATGCGAAAGGCCTAGAGATGTTAAAGGGAAACAAGAGAGAAGGTCCTTAGCACACTTTTCATGATAGAACTTTCCAAAACTCTGCAGTGCCATCAAAGACCCATATCTCTTTGGTTGCTAAAATGGCACCTTCATTCTGGGAATTATTTCTTCCTGCAAGGTTTTTCACATTAGAGCCGCTGCTTGTCCATCTGTGTTACCTGGCTGCTCAGCTTGGCTGCCTTCTTGGCCATTTCAATATCTGGGCGACCAAGCATGCTGAGCCCATGGCTGCCCTCCTTCCGGTGCTTGGCTCTGTACTCCACCTGAATCAAAGAAAACCAAAATGGGCAATACATTCTAGGTGGTGGGTGCCTTGTACTCCTTTTTGGCAGTGACCACTGGGGACGGGGTACATTTTAACTACACCCTTACCTCACTGGCCTGTTTGGCTGCCTGCGTGGCCTTCTTGATGTCTGGTCGATCGGCCACTGTCGTGTAATGAAGATTTTCTTTGGCACTTTTTCTGTAAGCAACCTTTATTTGGAGAAAAAATATATTACTCACTCAAGAGAGTGCTGTCTTTCCAAAAGTCCTCCTTAAGCACAAGGGACCTTTTTATTAAAACCAAACCAACTCTACCACCATATTTTTTAAACTACCAGATGTAGAAATTAGGGCGACTACTCACTGGAACCAGCTTGACATGCACGAGTTTGGGGCCCACTGGCTCAGGGGGCCCCCCGAGAAGGTGGAGAGGGGAAACTTACATCACTCTGCTTCTTGGCCACTTCCATAGCATGTTTCACGTCTGGGGGCTCCAGCATGATGGAGTAGTTGGATTTTCCTCTCTCCTTGACAAACTTCTTTTTGTAATTTGTCTAAGAAGAGCCAGAATTACTTACGTGAGCAGAGGAGGCAGGAATAGAATTGATTTACTGGAGGAACTGTGAGAAGATCTCCAGGAAAATCCATGGCTCCCCATATTGGCATCAGTCTGGAACTTAGATCTCTGTTCCATATTCTAGTTCTTCCCTGGTATTTCTGTTCTGGAACCCAACACTTGAACCACACAGTAATCTTTGGAGAACTGACTACAAGCAAATTAATCTCTTTCATTTACCATTTCGACCTTTTTAAAACATATGGAACCATATAGGTTCATAAAATATAATACCATGATTATTAAAGCATTATTGATAATGATATACTGGGCAGAGACTACTGAGATACAAAGAAGTCATTTTACTTCTCTGAAATCCTTTAGCAGTTTAAGGATAGGAGAGGCCACTCTTAATCAGCAATGCTTCCTCCCCTTATTAACACTAGGTTGGTAACATCTTATAATGCAGATAACATGTCCTGTGCCAAAACCCACATCTGCCATAGTTGCTACAATTAGGAAGACAATAAATATCGAGTCATCTTTTAAACCAGAATTCAAAATTCACATATAGGTATTGATGGTAAGGGTAAATCAACATAAAAGAAAGCATAAGCAGAAAGGCAGGTACAGTCTGTCACTGGATTCTAAGATAAAGTGGCATTGCTGCGGCCCAGAATCCTGGGGCTGGTCACTTACCTCACTGACATTCTTGGTCACTTTCTTGACATGAACAGTGTCCCGGGTCTCTGGCAGTGTTGTATAGGAGCCCTGGGCCAAGCGCTTCTTCACGTAGTCCTTGTATTTGTTCTGAGGGAATCCACAGAGATCTTGTTAAAGTGTTTGCCTGGGGCATTAGTCCAATATGGAAACAGAGCATAGGAGTCGCTGGAGGGTTACCTCGGACACTAGATTGCTGACAGTCTTTGCCAGGAGGATCTGAGGAGTATCAGGCACAGCATGGCAGGTTCCTCTTTCCTTGACATGTTTCTCTTTGTATTTCAGCTGCAGGGGTGAAAAAAGCATTTCTTTAGCTTCTCTGGGTTTTCTGCATATTTGTATTAAGCTCCCAAGTCACTAGGTAGAGCTGAAAGATGGCATCGTTGACACAGTAGGAAGATGAAACTCAGTAAAAGATTTCATGTTTGGAAATCTTGGGAAATATACACTAGGTATTTTCTTTATCTCTTGCAAGTTGAGGCTTTAATAACAATCAGAATGGATCTCATAAAACCTTAGTTCAAAGCATTTTCAAATATGTCATTTGACCTGCCCCCAAACCCTGGGAGGCGTTATTATTCCTCCCCTCCAGATGAGAAAACTGCAGCATAGGAAGAGTAGGATCCCACAAAAATGAATACGTTTCCTTATAGAATCCAGCCAGGACATCAGATGCCCAATTCTTGTGGTGCGAATTATCTTGTGGTGCAATAGAAATCACACACAGTCACTCGGATTTAATAGCTTACCACTGCTGCCGCCCTTCTCTACCATGTCACTGGTGTTCACCGGGGGCAGGGTCATATTTCAGGAGCCATACCTGAGCTCCTATAGAACCAGCCCCTCTCTGTCCTTTCCTGAGTGTCCCTGGGGACTGTGCTGTAGAAAACGGCCCTGAGTGAGGTTAGGCTTCATGGAAGGGACTAGATACTTACATCACTTTCTATTAAAGTATTTCTCAGGGCCAGCACCATGTCTTTATCATCAGTGACAGAAAGCTTGCAACCCTTGAGGAACTCTCGGTCCAGCTTGTATTCAAACTGTAATAGAAGAAAGGCAGAGGAAGATGGGAAAAGGAAGGCAGGCACGGGAGGAAGCTGGCATTTGATTAAACCCATAGGCAGTCCTCCCGTTAGCGGCACTATGAGGACTTGCTATCAGAATCGGGGCAGGGGCCTCCTGGCCCCTCATTCCAGGCTGGGCTCCTCCTCTCCAGCCCTGCGGACAGGACCAAGCCTCCCCAACCTGCTCACCCCCAGCCCCTCCCCAGCCTCGCTCAGGACTCCGAACCATGTGTCTGGCTGGGCCCACTCATGGGTAAGCAGGCTCTGTGGCCAGGTCTGCTTCCTGAGCTTGACTTTTACTCCTCACAACCCTCCTGTCCTTCTTGGATCTCAAATGAGCTAGGGTTAACACCCACGACCGTGGTTAATAGGCATAATTATTCATCTCTCTCTGTCTCAGGTGTGTCATGCAGTTCTGACTGTCTGGCTCTCCTATCTCACATCGCTTTGCTGCAGGGACGACTTGGCAGCCTGGATGAAGTCCGGTCGGTCAGGGGTCCACCTCCAGTGGGCTTTGTTGGCTTCATACTGCTTCTTGTAGTCCAGCTGTTTTTAAGAAGATGAAAATAAATCATTCAGTAGGCTGAATTCATAACCACATGCGTGGCACAGAGGGACTCATCTTGCCTTTTAACACACAACAAATCACAGTTCTTTACGCAAGAGAGACCCCCAATGAAAATTTCTGTGCAGTCTGTGCAGCTAGTCAGCCACTCAAGGGGTCATCTTGTGGGACCCTTGGGTCTCAAAATAGGGGCTAAAACTTTTAAAGGCTCCAGGTGAAATGATTCTTAAAACTCTAAATCTGTCAGTGTAGCTTAATCATCTTCAGAGTCAAGTACTTCTAATTTCTAACTAAAGTCAGACTTAATTTTTTAAAAACTTATTAAACACTTACAGTGTTTATTTCTGGCCAGGCACTTTTCTAAGTGCTTTATAAATATTAACTCATTTAATTTTCACAACAGCTGCATGAAATTGACAGCTGAGGAACTGCCTAGAGGGGTTAAATCACCTGCCCAAGGTGAGACAGCTAGTGAACGTGGAGCTGGGATTCAAACCCAGGCAGTCTGGCTTCATAGGCGCTGGTGCGCTTGCTAGACTTTCACCATAGCTAGACAACTGGCTGCCTCAAGCCAAGTCTGAGGCACAGAAGTGTATGGAGTTTGATTTGAGTACCCCTGGGAAGAGCCCTCACTACCAGGCACATTTCTTTCCTCACTCTTTTTCTCCCTCTCTTTTTTTATTGTCAAGGTATAATCTACACACAATAAAGTGCACATGCTTTTATATATGCTGTTTGATGAATTTTTTCCCATTTTATTCAAACATACACAATAGTTACAAGAATCTTACAGAGAATACCCATATACCTACCACCTGGATTCTACAATATGCATTTTACTGCCTTTGCTTTATCCCACATCTATCCTGCTCCCCATCCCTCAATGCATCCTCAGGACACCTGTAAGCTACCTGCCAGCCCCAAAGGCTTTTCAGTTTGCTGGCCCTATTAAGTATATGTTGTGTCTGGCACCAGTGGGCACCAGTTGGGTTATAATGGTTTCATTATATAAACATTTATATATTTTTTAAAAGTCAATACTCATCTAAATGCACAAAAGTGTTTCTATGGTTGAGGCTTTGAGATGCCTCCTCACAATGAGTCAGTGCAGGAAGTATCTGAGGAGGAGGAAGTTGTAGGCCAACTCGTGACAGCACCAAGTGGCTAAAATGTTTTGTTGTTTTTTTTCCCAGAAGAAGCAGGCTCTAGATTTCGGGGCAAGAGGAAAACAAGGAATGTGGAGGCAATGAAAGACGCTGAGACACTTTCCAAAATGCAACCTGCATTTCAGAATTGAATCTCTATTTCTCAGCCACCTAACATGAAGGCTGAGTGGCTGTAACATCCGCAGCACAGGGTGAGGCCACCTGGCTCCTCCCCATTTGCCTCTGTCAGGACCAAAGGCAGAATTTAGATTTCTGTGTCATTACTCATGCTCCTGGGGCCTAACTCTTGATCTGGACTCATTAGAGCTCAATCCCCTGAAGAGATGTAAAAAGAGGTCATGTGTCCTGCAGAAGCTGATAAATCCCCTGCTAGGCTTGGGGAAGTTTCTGGAACTTACATTGGTGTTGACTTTGTAGGCGTCCTTGGCTGCTTTGATATGAACAGCGTCTGGCTTAATGGTGCAGTTGGACTTATTTCTTTGGTAATCTTCTTTGTATTTCAGCTGTGGGAAGAAACACAGGTTAATTTTGTATGGTAGCCTACTAAGCATTTTAAAAAACAGGAAATTAAAACCATGACTACAGTACACAAGTCTCCTTAAGACAGAATAAATCGTCGTGAAGAAATGATGCAGCCATGCAGCTGTGCAGACATGTACTTTACTGTCTCAGATCTTAAAGTCAGCTCCCCAGGACACGTTGAATATGTTCGCCAGTGTCACCATAGGATTTATGTCCCCTGAGCTTGTGCTGAAAGAGCCAGCTGGACAGCCACCCACATGTTTTCCCTTCACCAAATCAGAAAATCCTGAGTTCAGAACATCTCGTAAAGTGCTGATGGAAGAGAATCCTTCCCCCACTGGCTCAGCCAGACGGAATTAGTCTTGCCCTCCTTTTATGCCCTTACAGTTCTGGCTGTTATCATGTCAGGTTGTAATTATTTGTTTATCTGTCTATTCTTTCCATTAAGCTGAACCCCTTGAGGGCAAAGATTGTATATCATTCATCATCTCATTCCTAGCATCAGGCACATAGAAACCCAATAAATATTTGAAGAACAAATGAACTGATGGATGTAGTCTCTCTATCATCATTGCTAGAGCCACACCTAGCAAGTTTGGGCCTGTGTGGGTTTGGATGGGATGGAGAGGGACAGGGCAGACTTAGCCTCTGCGGGCCCAACACATACTTTCCTTACCCTGGGCCTGGGATTTCCAGCTTTACCCACTTGTGCTCCTCTCAAATTTCAGGGCCCTGGGGTCCCACCTGGGCCTTCTCACTAATTTTGAGGAAGGATCCTAGGTTTTAATGTGGTTATGTCTGAAGTAAAACTGTTCTAAAGAAGCCATAGTAGTGCTTACTAACCTTGCCTGATCATAAGAATCACAGTTTTCTGCGCTTCACCATACACCTAGTAAATCAGGATCTTTAGGGAAAGGGCTTGGAAATCCATATTTTTCATCAATATCTCAGGTTACTGTTATAATTAGAAAGTTTGGGGAAATGGATGCAGAAATGCTTCATTTTTCTACAGTGAGAGGGAATGGGCTCCTCCAAACAAGGGATCAACCTGAGAGATGTTTATGAACACCCGATGTTCATGTTTTGAGTGCCAAAACTTATTTTAACATTTTTCATGTATCTAAAGTATTTTATACATTTCTTCCCTCATCAACCGTGCACTGAATGTATTTAATGCTTTTCATGTCAACTCAGGGTCAACAATGTGAACTCATTTATTCATTTACCAAAGAATTCCTTAGCACCAGTCACAGTCAAGGCTCTGGGGGAGGGATGAGCTATTCCACAGTTGCCTTTTCTTTTCTTTCTGATACCCATGAAGTTCTTTAAAATATTTAGTCTGTTTTTTCAACTAAAATGACAGTAATTTTCAACCATAGAATCTAGCTATAAATCTGAAAATTCATGAATACAATTTCTCCTCAAATTCAGAGTATTAGAATATAATGGCTACCTTGCTCCTCTTAGTCAAGATAAAGCTTATGGAGTATTAATAGAGTTCATGGCACATTGCATTTTTCAAAACGGCCTCAACAATATCCTCCACCTACATGCTTCTCTGCAATGTGACTTTGACGCTTGTTCATCTGGAGGTGGCATTTATCTCTTCACCCCTTGAATCTGGGTGTGCACTGTGCCTAGTAGAACATGGCAAAAGTGACTGTGTCAGTTCTAGAGGTAGCCCTTATCTGGTCTGGAAGCTGCTACTTCCTGCCTCTTGGTAGCCAGCTACTGTGCTGTGAGATACCCCAAGCCCAGGGAAAGGCTACATGGAGGAGCTCCTGTCTATACAACAGCTGAGCTCCCAGCCCACAGCTGTCATCAACCGCCAGCCATGTGAGTGAGTATCCCAGATGTCCTGGCCCACCCGAGCCTCAGCTGGCTGCTAACATGGAGTAAAAGATCCACCCGGCTGTGCCCAGTCAGCTCACAGAATCATGAGCAAAAAAAGATTATTGTTGTTCTAAGCCACTAAGTTTTAGGCTGATTATTACACAGGGATAGATAACGGGACCAGGGTTTGTTATATCACATTAGAAAGAGGCCAAGATGAGAGGGATTGCAAAGCCATTCCATACTTACGTCACTGACTTCATCTTTGACCTTGCGGACATGCAGCAACATGGGTGTATCATGGATTGTGATGTAGCCTCTGGGTTTGGCCTTGTTGTATTCTAACTTATACAGTATCTGAAGGAGATAAAAAGGCAGAAAGAAACAACGTTATGCTACTCAATTTACAATGTAAAAATATAAATGCAAAGTTGGGGTTTTTTTTGAGTATATATAAAGGAAAGAGAATTAACTCAACGGGTGCTTTCGTGCTTTCTGCTTAGGCCCCACTGTCTCTCAAATGGGGCATTTGCCAATTTGGTTGGAAGAATTCATTATTGTGAAAGCACAGTCCTGAGCACAACAGGACACTTAGTGTCCCTGCCTCCCTCCCACTAAATGCCAGTAGAGTCTTGCAGACATTGTGACAATCTAAAATGCCCTTCCACATTTGCAAATGTCCCCTTAGTTTGAGAATCCATTCAGTGTTTCTCCTACTTACATCACTGATTTGTTTGTTGACTCTTGTAGTACGCAGGTGTTCTGGAGTGTCCACAATTGAGGTAAATTTGTCCTTTAATTTTTCATAGTTTTTCCTGTACTTGATCTAAATTTTGGAAGAGAAGAAGCAGTTAACTTTAAAAAGTAGGATAGAGGGCTTTAAGGAATCTAATTTACCTCTTGAGAGAGTCCCACAGCAAATAGTAGGATTATTATATAAGCCACAGACGCAGATGATGATGTCATGGTAGCTTTTCTTTAAACCCTAAGTGGAAATGTTTAATGTAAATCCATATTTGATAGCAATAGTCTAATGAAATGAGCAAATAATAATAAATGATATTTTTCAGTATATTTTCTACACTTGTAAATTAAGGCCCAGAGAGGTTAAGAGACTGAGCTAAAGGCTCATATAGAGTGAGTCTCAGAGCCGGGACTAAACCCTTGTTCTCTGGACTCTGACGAGTAATGATTCATTCACAATATGCTGCATCGAATATGTGTGATCTATTAAGGTATGTTTCCATATCAAAGATGTCATAGATGTAAAATAAAAAATACGTATGTACAGCTTAAAGTATTTATCATTTTTAAAAATGCATTCATTTTTGTAATTTCCAAGTCATGATTCATTTCATGCACACAAGCTTTTTCAAGCGGTACAGATACAGAGAGCGCAACAAAATTTCATGCATAACTATTTGATGGCCATATCAGGACAAAGTTCAGGCAAACAGGATGTTCATAGGGAGACCTCATCTTTTTCATTTCACATATTGATTTGATGTCAAACTAAAGTGATAAAACAAGTTGCTAATACAAAAAATTCATTAAAAACTTTTCTTGTCTGGAAGCAATAGAATTTTATTAACATTGTAACTGGTAGTTAAGCAACTATCACCGCTTTTGGCTGCGTCAAATTTACCTTTCAGCATGTGATGGAAATGTGGTGGTGTGTGCCTCAGTTGACCTTGTAGGAAGGCAAGGTTATCAGCAATCTCCTTAACAAGTGTGTGTAAGGACAGATACACTGGAAATAACCTAGCAGATTCAGCCTCAAACTAAAGAGGGGCCATGTATATGTACAATATTCAAAGAGCTGCAGTTTAATCATCATCTCTCCCAAAAGGTACAGTTCTAGTCATCATTGGACAAAGGACAAACTAGGTGAAAACATTAAATATTCAGATCTTTTAAATGCTGTTGAATCTACTTAATATCCTCAATCTCTAAAGAATCTGTCTCTTTGGGGCAAATATTGAAAAATATAAATTAATGTGAAACAAATTTGGAAATAAAGTTTGAAAGAGTCTCAGTTAATCTTACTAGGAGTTCCAAAGGTGCCAGATGATGTACCCATGATGGCTGCTGCATCATCACACGTGGCCACATCCAGAGCTCATTTATAAGGAATGAATATTTATGCAGCTTTATCATGTGAAACCAGCATGGGCAGGGGGCAGGGGAAGGGAATCATGGAAAGCACAAAGGTGAATGTCCCCAAGGCTTCTAAATCTCTTCTGCACATCACATCAGACATTACCTGGCTCCACATGTGTGTGTTGTAGAGGGCAGTCAACATATCTGGACGCAGAATTTCGTTACATCCTTGTTTCAGAAGCATCTTGGCACTAGACTTATATTTTCTCTGTTCATGCAAAGAGCGGTGAAGCACAAAAGAGACTTATGAAGACAGAAGAGAACATGGCTCTATATCCCAATCACCTCTGAGTGAAGAGATGTAGGCACACACACTTTATGTACTCACATATACATGTGGATGAAGACACCAAATACACTATAAGGCCAAACAGAATGACTGCAATACTTGTGGTTGACCATCCATAGTCCTTGTGAATGGGGAATGATATAGCTAGTCCCACCAAAATTGCTTTACAGAAAAGAAGACATCATTGGAGTAGAAAAATACAGAAAGGAGTTCTGTCTTCTTTTTTTCCATTAATTTGTTTCTTTGTTTTTGCTTTTGCAACTCAATTTGCAGTTTACAGGCCCTCCAGAAGAATAAAGGGTGGGAGGACCCAGCTTTTCTTTTCTTCTTCACCACAGCACATGTGAGGACACAGAGCATGGACTGGCACACTCAAATAGCTCATGGGCTCTTTGGGTGGCTAGACAGATACTTTGAAACAGAACATCTCAATATCATAGGCAGAACCTATGACATCCTTGCAGCAGACGGGACGACATCTCATGAGAAACCCAGAGCACAATCCTGTCTGGGCCGTCCAGCCAGCCTCATCACAGTACCTGACTGATCTGGTCGCCTGCGATCTTAGCCAGCAGATGTCTAGGCTCATCGACTACCAGGTGGTATTTATCTTTCCGCTGCTCATAATCAGCTCTGTATTTTTTCTGCTCAAACATCATATGAAATTATAGCAAGAGTACAAATTCAAGGCTACACAGAAATGTCGCAAGATAAACACTCCAGAGAGCCAGAAATATGTCATTTCTAGAGGTTGGCTCCCAAAGCATTCAGGGTAAAAAAAACTGGGAGGCAAAGAGAGTTAAGCGAAGGAAGATCACCTGGAGAAGCCTGGGGCTTGGAATAGATCTGATTTATGATCCCAAAATTGGAGTATCTTGTGCCTAAACATTTTCCATCTTCACATACGATGCCATCAGCAATGTTACATTTTATGATATCTTAACTTGTATTTAAAATAAGGCACCAATAAGCTACAGGTTAACTATCTAAGGCTGTGAGAATTAAAAAGCATATTCATGGACAAATTCTAACAGTCTTCTAATGCTGGTTAATTTATTTGATTAAAAAAGAGAACTGGAAATCCTTCAAGAATTAGAATAATAGAAACAAAATATATTATATTAAGACTGTCTTCCTAGGTAGCTACTGACAGTAATTCTTCAGAGTCGTGCCGCCTGGAAATCTACTGAAAATGAACTAAATCAAATTTAAAAACAACAAAATAGTCATATATTGAGATAAATATACCATTGGCTACAGTTTCATTTTTAGATACATTTTACTAATTTTCTGAAATTAGAACTTATATGAATCCGTGGAAAATTCAAAGACAGTAAATTAAATCTAAAACCATCCAAACGTAAGTTAATTCATAGCTTGCTTATTTCAGCCATTTTAAGCTAAATTTAACTTAAATTAACGCAAAGACAGTTCTAGGAAAGACTGGGTAGAATATAAAAGAATATTTTGTGGGCAAATGGATACTTCTCTGCACCACTGCATGAGTAACAATGGCAATAAATTTGAATGCGTGAATCACAACTATCCCCTTAAGGGTGGCTCTTCCAACCACTGCCATTTCTGTGCCTTGGTAAGGGATACAAAATTAACCTTCAACTTCTGGGTCTCCCAACTCTACACAGTACCATGTTTAAGGGAGTTTAGCTGACAGTCAACAAAATCCTTTACCTCCTTACTCTCATCACCCAAAGGGCTGTACTGCCCTATGCTAGTGCAAACAGAGGCAATGATTGTTGTGAGGTCCTCACACCACTCCAGACAGTCCCTACACTTGTTTTTTTTCTTGCTTTTGCCAGAGCCCATCAAATGGTGACATTATAAGAGTCTTTCCAAATCTTTATCTTGAATCTACACTTAGAATGTCTTTCCTATCATTTTATATATCGGGTTTTAATCAAATAATTCTATAGACTCCTTAAGGAACTGAATAGGCTTAATGGGATCAGGTCATACATACCTCATTCATCAACTGAGTTGCATACTTGAAATGTCTATTGATTGGACAATCCGCGACATACTTGAAATCTGACTTGATCCTTTCAAATACCTCTTTATATTTATACTAGAGAAAACAGAATGTGGTTACTTGATAGCAGGCGATGAATATCTTAAGAATGAGACATGCCACTTATCTTATCATACAATTGTTATAACTCATTCTCAGAGCCCTCTATCTCCCAAGGCAATGAAGGGTATACCCACCTGGATGTCTTAAAAACTAGCCCCAGAATACACGCTTTCATTGAATGGATGTCAAATAGATCTATGTTCTATATTGGGGAAAAATCCAAACTAGTTTCTCCTTCACTATTTTGCCTTGAAGGTATTTCCATGTGTACTTGAAGGCAGTTTTTAGTCCATTAATTTGAAATAATTTTCCAGTAAGTAATCAGATAATCATAATATTTTAGAGCAGGGGTGGGTTAACATCTAGACCACCACCTATTTTTGAATGGCCTATGAACTAAGAATGGCTTTTTTTTTTTTTTTTTTTTTACAATTTTAAGGGATTGTAACAAAGAATATGTATATGTGACTTACTATCTGGTACTTCTCAGAAAAGTTTGTTGGCTCCTATTTCAGAACTCAAAGGAAGCTAACCCAACTGCTTCATTTTGTAAGTAGGAAAATGAGGTCATAGAAACAAAGTTATTTGCCTCAAGTCACACACCAACTTTGTAGATTAAAATAATACCACTTTATACTTGCTACCATATCAACTCTAACAGGGTAAATCACCCAGAGACATATTAACAGGGAGGAAATTCTGGAAGAGCCATGAGAAGTTGAACTGAGATAACCTTTTATCAAATTCAAATAAATGATATAAATAAGTGATGACTATAGTCAATAAAGTCAGTACAAAAAAAATTCCTAAGTCAAGTGAACAATTCAGTATGTACTCCAACTATAGTGTCTAGAAGCTAGATAGGGATGGAAATATGAGGAGCTATTTCCTCAGTGCTAATTCTCTCTGTAGGCACTGGAATATGTTGAATGGATGTGGTCATTATCTTTGAGTAGATATACCTTGCTGTAGAGAGTCTTGTTCTTTTCAGCCAGAGTGAAGTCAGGAGTATCGTAGGCATAGCAACCAATGCCTTTAAGCCAGGTCAGATCTGATTTATATTTTATCTGGGAGGAAAAAAACCATAGAAGAGTTTTAAGAACCTATTGCCAAATAGCAGTAGGTTAGGATAGATACAAGTGGAATACATAGAATCTCTGACTGCTGAGGTATATGGAATAATAAAATATTAAAACAACTATTTAAGAGAAGTTTCCAGTAATACTGATTTCTGCTCATTTTATGGTGTATTGTTGTATTGTATATAGAAACTTTCATTTTTAATACTAATTAAAGCAATTCAAATTTAACAGGCAGACTTGCCTAGTGGGTATATCATTAGTTCGGCAGCTGTATTTTCATATAGAGAGCTAAAATTTCTTTCTAAATGAGCATTATGTGTCTTAATTGCTTTATGAAGTTGCCTTTTCAATTGATCAAAAATAGGTTATTGCTTAGATGAAGTATATCACTTCCAGTCATGTAATATGATCTAATACATTTAGAAGAGAACGTACGCTCATAAATTTGAATATATTTTTCTCTTTCCCAAGTTGAAGTTCACTCATCTAGCAATGAGTTTTATGATTTAAACATCTATACACAAGAACTAAAATTTAACCAAGTGTTTAATCAGTTTTTATGCAGTGTTTGATTTCATAAGTCATATAGGCATATGAATTTATTTGTAAAAATAGAAGATTTCGAGACTCACATCACTGACAGCATCAGTGACTGCCCGATGGTGGAAATGCTCCGGGCGATCAGCAATGGACCTCCAGATTCCCAACTGGCTCATGTAGTTTGCCTTGTATTTCACCTGTGGTAAAAACACAAAGACAGCTATAAAGTCTCACCCAAAGTTAATGCAAAAATGTCTACTTATCTCCAGAGAGTTTTAGGAAAGGGAGGATACTTTTAAAAAATGATGGTGGGTTACTGAGCCCAATACAAATAGAAATATGTAGGGACATACTTTACTGATGTCATCTGTGACTTTGCGATGGTAAACAATGTCCAGAGCATCCTTCACAGTGTGGTATTTCCCTTTGGTCTTTTGAAACGTTTCTTTGTAGCGTAGCTAGAAAGAGAGACACGCATGGATTATGAAAAACCAGCAAGCTAAATAGTTGAGCTCTTTTAAGCTTGAACTCTCTTGAGTCTTTTCTCCTAGGTTTTCCCGTGAATAAATTTAGGAGAGATTAAAAAGCTAATTTCTCATCTTTGGAGAAAACTAATGAAATCTAAATAAAGTATGGAGTTTAGTTAATAATAATGTATCAATGTTGGTTCATTGGTTGTGACAAATGTATGACGGAAATGTAAGATGTTAACAATAGAGGAAACTGTGTAAGCTATATAGGAACTCTCTGCACTATTTTAGCAACTTTTCTATAAATCTAAAACAACTTAGTAAAAGTTTAAATGTAAGAGGAACAAACAAAAAGCTTGTTTGGGAGGAGAAAAAAAACAAACATAACCTTGTTGAGCCCAAGACATACTAATGTATATGGAAAGGGGAGAAAGTTCTAGTTGCTAACTCCCAGTATTAAAATGCCTTCTCCATGAAGCAGTCCTGAAATTTTATTTCATTATGATCTTTATGGTATGTCAAGAGACAACAGCTCTGACTTTAACCTAAGAATATGTTAGAAGATTCATCCCACCTATACAAGATGCATACTTCTTTGAGTAGTCTGTTTTCGATCTCAAACAAGTCTTGTATTTTTGGGTAGCTGAGCTAACACATAATTAAAGACGTCTTTTCTTTGACTTTGTAACTTTGTTTTTCAGATGGATAATCTCATCAAATCACTTAGCTCTACTTGTGGGGATAGCCACTGTAGATAAGTCAAACTTAATGCCCGAAACTACCCTTGCTACACTGGTCTATTTCAAAGATTAGAGTTATCAGTATTGGTCCTGAGAAAGCCCTAGGGATGGGGCTGTCCAACGGGACACAAGGAGGTCCAGGGGCCAATTTCACTGTGTAGCCACCCCCAAAAAGTGGTGATGCAGAAAAAGCTTGACTCAAATTAATGTTCAACAGTAACCTTGAAGTGATAAAGATGGGGATGTCACAAGACTAAAAATATCCTAGGGGATAGATTTTGAGAGCAGTATATGATTTTCTCAGCTTATATTTTCAGCAAGCTGGCATTGCTTCTTGCCAACTAGCAGACTCCTCTCAGCTCCAAATGAAAATTTCTGACAAAATTACAGAACTGAGATACTGTTCCAATTTGCTGTATTCTTTCACATTTCTGTTTAGGGATCACTGTAATTACTTTAAGATGCCTTGAAATCCTAGAGCTACGTTGCTAAATTGAGGGGTTATAGGGTTTCTTGAGCTTTTGGCTGGATTTAACTTCCAACATGTCACATCTTCCAGGGATTCTGTTTCTGGTAATGGGTGCAATGCATTCACAGTTGGGCTCTGAGACACGAAACTGGTAAGGACTGGCCATCTACCCTGGGTTGATTAATTTCATATCTTTATTAACAGATAATCCCATTACCATTAAAAGGCAGTCCTGTCCTTGATCATGTGGCAAGGTAAATGAAAGTCTGTACCTTTTACTTCTAACAAATGTGTCATTACAATGATCTAGGCAATCAAAAGAAGAAAGGGAACAAACATTTTCTGAGTGTCAACTAAGAGCCCAGCACTGTGCTAGTATGTTATATACCTTATCTTGTTTAGTTTAATTTAATTATCACAATTCTTATCAGCATTCCACGTATAAGAAAACAGAGTCTCAGAAAAATTAGGTAAATTATATAGAGTCATACAGCAGGTAAGTGACAGCGTCAGGATTTGAAACCATGTTTGGCTGACTCCAAGACCATGATTTTATGGCTAGACAACAATTAGTTGTCAAGTATCCCTAGGAAGTGCTACCAAAGAATTATAAGAAAGGTTCATACTTTTGCCCACAAGACCAATGAGAAAAATGACAGGCTTTTAGCATCTCCCAGCATTATTCTTAGCTACTTTGCCTGACTGGTATTTTTTGTGTCTGTTTTTGTTATTGTTGTTTTTAATGTTTCTGTTGTTTTCCTGATCCATGTTGTGGGCCAGGACTTTGAACTATGGATATGATTGTAATATCTTCTGTTTCTTAGGTACCTCAGCTGTCCCTATAACAACAGAAGAAAGAAGGAAGGGATGCATACATCACTGGCATTCCAGTAAGCCCTCTTGGCTCTGATGAGGATTGGCGTATCCGGAACCGGAGTGTATCTGTCCTTCATCTTTTCATATTGAATCTTGTACTTTTTCTAGGAAATAAAGATAGAAAAGAGAGACAAACTTAAGTTCAAGTGTTTTCATCTCTCCCAATTACAACCATGTCACAGATCCAGCCTAGGGACACAATATGTCATGCTCGATAGGAGAATAGCTTTGTCTTCTGTGTTTTGATGCTGCTGAACACAACTTATAGAAATGAGCTCCCTGATCAGAGGCAGTAGGTGAAGGTTTTAACAAAGGATTCTTTTCTTTAACCCAGTGCCTCAGTGCCAAATTCCTGACTTACCTCGCTGACCATGTCCTTCACGTCTCTAGCGTGCTTCAAGGCTGTTGTCTGGTTTCCAGCATGATGATGGGGTCTCTCTTTGGTGGCAAGTTCAACATACAGGTACTAAATAATCAGAGAACAGGGATCAGATGTTATAGAGGTAAAACATTTATTATTTAGTATTCAGTCCTCTTCATTCATTTCTAACCCTTAAATGGGAAGGCAGTGTCTATTTGTTGTTGTCCTGTATTTTTCTTTGTTTGTTATATGTGTTTCTGTTGATCTGTTTCTCTCTTTATCTGTAATTTGGAAACACATATATGCACTCCAGTTATCTAATATTCTTACTGTTAAGTATGGGCCAATCTAAATCCATATGATAAGGAATGTCAATGAAAGAATGAGGATTCTGATAGAGCCCTCAACGTATTTTTTTTCCATTTTTGCCTGAATGCATGAAATGCAGTTTCATTTGTCTGTGGATAATAGATAGGTCCTATGGAATGAACCAAGCAATGATTTTCACTACCTGGAGTCCACAGACTACTCATCCAATGACAAAAGTCGTACAGAACTTAGAAAAGCAAACTTGACATTACCTGCTCGTGTAAAACATAACCACGGTGATGATGGCCCAAAAGAAAACTGCTTCTGGAAGTGAAGGGGCATGAGGCTGTATCAAGGACAGCCAAGCGTGAGAGGCTGCTAAGGACCAGGAGTGGTCAGGCATGCATAACCACCCCCTGTGACGCCAATACAACAGATTTATGAATCTTCGTTTATGAATCTTACCTGACTCTGAAGCTTCTGCCCTCGCTTGGCTCTTAAAAGATCAGGAGTATCAGGAACGGAAGTGAAGATTGACTTCAGCTTCTTGCCTGAAGCTCTGTACACCAGCTGGACATAAAACAGTCATGACTGTAATTTCTGCTTCATGGACATGTTATGTTCTCCGCAGGCGCCTTTATTGCTCACTTTATGGAAAAAGCAGGGGCCCTCCCACTGCAACAATCTCAGTTTCTGCCCAATAAACCAATAATTTATTTGCCTCCCTAGTCATCTTTTTCTTTTTTCCTTCAAATCAAAATAAGAGACATTCTGTAGCCTGTCCAAGATTCAAGCCTCCTACTGTGTTCTTGGTCCCTTCTCACCTGTCCGTTCTAGGACCCTGTTTCAGCAATTATCCCCTTCCTCTTCATATCTTCAACTGGCCTGTTTTTCCGGCCCTCTCCCTTCATCTGCCAACAGACTCAAATCCCTTCGTTCATTAAGCCTTTTCCAATCTTGACCAACAGCCTTCTTCTTTCCTTTCACAGCCAAGCAGACCATGGTTTCTTCTTTTTCTTTCTTTTGATTAATTTCTCAAGGTGATAGTTTGGTTTCCACCCAACCACTCCAATGAAGTCACTCTCATCAAGACTACCAAAACCTTTACAATTGCCAAATCCAAGAAAGATTCTCTGTAGTAAGTGAAACTGCTCAGCAGTTTCTTTCCTGAAAACTCTCTTCTCTGCCTTCCATTCCACCATTCCACCCTACACAGTCTCCTATCTTTTTAGGCATTCCTTCTCAGTCTCCTTCTATGGTTCTGCCCTCCCCCAAAGGCTGCTATTAGCTGGAGTCAAGAGTTGGCCCCTTTTGCCCTATACATTCTCCTTGGGTGACCTCATTCATACCCAGGGCCTCAACCATCAATTTGAGATTGAGGAATTTCAAATCTATATAGTATCCAGCATCTCTCCTGAGCTCCAGACCCGAATTTTCAACAGTGTTCTGAACTTGAGTGACTTGTCATGTTTAACATAGAATTCTTTGTATTATCCCATCTCCAGCCCAAATCTGCTTCTTCTCCTGTTTTCTCTGTTTTGCTAAATGGCTTCTTGATCTCCCAGTCACCCAGGGTAGAAACTTGGGGAATCATCCTAGACTCTTTCTCCCTCATTCCCACATCAAAATGGTCATGAATCCTGGGCTCCTAACTTCATGATATTCCTTAAATCTGATCCTTCTCCTTTCCAACCACCACTGCCCTAGTTCAGCCTCCTATATCATTTCTTCTCTACACATTGTTAAGAGCCTCCTATCCTCTATTGGACCACTCCATATGGCTCACCCATCTTTCACAAGTCTAAGAAAGAGATTTTCTTAAAGCTCAGATCTAATGAGATCTTAATGCTCAGATCTATCGTGCTCAGAAATAATTCTTCAATGATTTTTCATCAAGCCCAAGATCCTTAATACAGCACCCATGAGGCTTCATAATCTGGCTTCTATCCTATATTTCTAGAGTCATTTTCCAACATTATTCCACACTCCCCATGTGCTATTTGAAACTACTCCCAATTTCTAGAACTTATTATGGCCATTTTCACATACTATCCTTTCTGCCTAGAATGTTCTTTACCCTCTTATCTGCATGGAAAACTCCTAGAGTCCATACTGTCTTGATTATTCCTATAAGATACCATTTATCATAGTGATGTCTGTTTCTTCTCACAGATTATGGGCCCATGGAATGCAGGGGCTCAGCTCTATCATCCTTTCATCACCTTGTGCTTAGATAAAAGATCTGAAAAATTATAGTCCTCTAATAAATACTGAGGAATTTAATATAATGAGGCAAACTAGAAAGTATAAATATATGATGAATAATTTATAATCACAGATATAAATGCCAGTTGATATATCTTGATGATATATCAGATGAACAGATAAAATGTAGGAAAGAAATAATATGTATATACACATGTATGTACATGTCCATTTCTTTACATCTAAATTATATACAAGTGCAAGTTAAAACAAAATATAGCTCATTGCTTGGGGCTGCTTTTGGTGTTACTACTGAAAGAAAGGAGATAAACTAAATAAAAATTTACTGTTTCTCCTAGGCTAAATTTCAAATAAAGCAAATAAAACTCAGAATCTTATAGTTAAAAGGAGCCTGAATCATTATCTAGTCCAATTCTCTAGCTCAGGAAATTGGCGTGTTGACATTGAAAATTATACAAGGTCACAGCAAATTGGAATTAAATCTGGGACTGAGACCCAACTCTCCCATGCCATTTCTATAATTCTCTTTGTACTATATTTCCCTTGTACTTAGGTATCCCTACTTTATGCTTCTTGGGACAACATCCCTGCTTCCCGGTACTACAAATGTATGTATGTCAAGAATCTGCATAATTCAAAAGACAATTCAAAAGTCCATAAGTTTAACCTTTTTTGGCCAACAAATTTTTTACTAAGCCAGTGTTTCCCAAACTTTCTTGATCCTAAAAAACCCCAAAGTCGCTATTAAAAACAGATTTGCAGGATCTACCCCACACCTTCTGAATCCAGGGTAGTAGCCTGCATTAGTGTTTTATCAGGCCCAGGTCATTCTATGATGAGGCAAGTGCAGGAGAAACTGCACTACTGAAAAATATCTATTGTTCTTCCTCAGTGTTGATGCCCAATATGCACAAAATCCCAATAGCAATTGGGAAGAAGAGAAATTAAAGGTTTAGATAATTCTGAATTCAGACAGCCAAGAGAAGTAAAGGTATTTCAGAGAGACCAATAAGAACTTTAAGTTACCAAACAACTGTTTATTATTTGGTAGCTAGAGGACAGATGTGATACTTTAAAATAGTGGTTTACAATGCTGGCTGCATATCAGAATAAGCTATGGAGCAGCTGAAAGCATGCAGATGCCCAGACATAGAGAATCAGAGTCTAGTGTGGGGTTGTGGGTCACAGCCCACTCAAGGGTAGTTTTAAAATATTTCACAGATGATTCTGATACTTAGCCAGAGTGGAGAATTATCTTTACTGAGATACAAAGAAAATAAGCATTCATGTCTGAGTGTTGGCACTGGTTAAAATAATACAAGGAAACTTTCAGGAAAGCAAATGGGCTCGATGTAGCTTTTGTAAAAGCTAAAGAATTAATCATCTTCTGCCTCAGGCTCACTAAGAGTGTAGGAAGCTGCACATCCCCTCTACCAAGGGCAACATTTAGTTTATCAGGGCATCTCTACGTCAAAGAGCATAAGGGATTCCTAATCAGCAGCCATCAGAGCTATTGAGAATGGAGAGTCAATGAAGTGGCCTGACAGCCAATGCTTGGCTCAGCTTGATGAAGTCTGATGGATGAGGCCACAAGACAAACTGAGAGTTGAATGACAATGGCCAACTGACCTATAATAAGAGCAACAATTTACATTTGTGGAATGCCCTTACCTTTACAAAGCACATTTAGTCATTGGCAAACACGGACATCTATTATGGCCAAGGCACTATGGGGTATGCATTTAAATAAGATGGGAGCCGACTCTCAAGGAACCAACAGTCTAGGTGAGAGCATCATATTTATACACAATTAACTACAAGAAATTAGGAACCTCAGTGCCAGGTGGGGCAGATGAAAATGAAGCTAAGTAGTTTGGAATTTATTGAGCTGGCAGCAGAACAGGGAGTCATTGAAGACTTTTCAAAGCAGGGATTAAAGAGAGAGAAAATTTTAAAATAAATTCAGCTTGGAGACTACAACAATAGTATAAGACAGAAGGACTTTCTCATCTATAAAATCATGTAAACTTTCAGCAGCCCGAGTCATAGGTAGGGCAAGTATCAATATCCTCATCTTACCCAAAAGGGATAAAATAAGTAAACTGAGGCAAAGTGAGGTCAATTGACTTGCTTAGATATGGTGGTCACTTTAATGAAGGGCAGAGGGGAGATCTTTTCCCTAGTGTGGTTGCCTGAAAAATGATCACTAGAGGAATGAGTCCCTTGTGGCGACAGGTTAAGCATCCTTACCTCACTCAGATGTGTCTTCAGTTCCTGCACTTTTCTGTATTCTGGAGTGTCAAGCACCACTTTGTATTTGTCTCGTGTCTTCCTTGCATTATCAGTGTACAGGTAATGAGACTTTAAAAAAAAAACAACAATGGAAATACAAGTTGATTAATCATTTAAGGAATTGCATGCCATGGTCACATGTTTTCTTCCAATGGCTGGCATGTGCAAGCCAAGCTGGCCCTCTACATATACTGGATGTCTTCCCAGGCAGGAACAAAGACAACCATCATTTAACTAAACTCATCCGCTTTTATAGGAGGCACAAAACATCTTAGTTGGGTCATGACTTGTTCAAGTGGGTTAATGACAAATTTCCCCTTAAAAGTAGCTACAAGCCAGGATTCTTTCTATCCAGCTCTTTGAGGCTGGTGATGGGGTCTATGGAAGCTGGTAGGGGTAGCTACATGCTGTGAAGATGTGCACTCACCCAGAGCTTCCGCAGGTGCCGGGAGCGGACCATGTCGGGAGTGTCATACAGGAAGCAGCCCAGACCCCTCAGCATCCTCAAGTCCTCTTTGTATTTAAGCTGTGTGGTAAAACCAGAAATATAGTTGGTCATGGGCAAATGTGAATCAGGAACAAAAAAGACAGAGTAGTGACACTTTTTTATTGATGTAGCTTTCATTTTGCTTCAACACGTCCACCCCGTGCTTAGTTTGCTTGCACTCAAATAAATCACAGGTTTTTATATTTAAATTGCTAACTCTGACTTCAGGAGAGAAGATTGTTATTTTTTTATTATTAAATTGATGGGAGAAAAGCATAGATTGAATGGAGTGGTCTTTTAGGAGAAGGAAACATCCAAAGAGAAAAAACATGGCAGCAGGAAGTTGTTAAAAGGTGTGGGAGTAGGGAGGAGCAGGAGAAAGACACTAAATAAGACCTGGGACAGAGGCCACTTAGAGAATGAGGAGTGAGTAATAATTCAGTGTTGAATGTACAATGGTCGTCAACAATTCTTGTATTTCCCAAATGATCCTCTTACTACTATTTCCATAGCTGGACAAATGTGGGGTCCTGCTTCCACACTACGTCACCTCCGACTTGTACACTCAGTTTAGGAGTACTCAATGGAAAAAGCTGTTCAAAGACCACTGGTTGGCTTAAATGCTGAAAGCATGCCTGCCTCTTGGTAACAGTCTTCCAGAAAGACCCTTGTGAGATGCTTACATCACTGGTGATGTCTCCCACATAGCGGCAATGGATCACTTGGGGTGTGTATGGCAGCGAGATCATGTGGCCTTGCATCTTGAAGAAGTCTGATTTGTAGATCAACTAAAGAAAAAAGTGCCCAGAAACACACACATTAGAGACCGAATGGTTGACATTCACCCCTGGGTTCTATAGCCTGTTGTATCTCCTAAGGAAATACCCACCTCACTGACAGCCTCTTGTGTCTTCTTGACTTGGCGGATTTCAGGTGTGTCGGGAGTTGTGTGAATCTTATCTTTCAGTTTGTGGTATAACTGGCGATATAGTCTCTACATTGGAGGAAAAACCATTCCAGGTGTTTAGTGTAGGAAGATGATGACATCTATTGACTTATCAACAGTCAAATATTTTATATAAAGAGCCATGAGAGGAGAGATTAAGGATACAAAAAATGATTGAGATTAGGAAAAAAGAGAAAACTGATATTCATTTTTTTTGGATGAAGAAATTTGAGGGCCGGCCCCGTGGCTTGGTGGTTAAGTGAGCGCGCTCCGCTGCTGGCGACCCGAGTTCGGATCCCGGGCTCCCACCAGCACGCTGCTTCTCCAGCCATGCTGAGGCCGCGTCCCACATACAGCAACTAGAAGGATGTGCAGCTATGACACACAACTATCTACTGGGGCTTTGGGGGAAAAAATAAATAAATAAAATCTTTAAAAAAAAAAAAAAAAAAAAAAAGAAATTTGAACACAAAGTCTTCCACTTTTTTCCAGACAGTTGGATAGTAGGAACAGGTATACAAACCAATAGTTTATGTAGAAAATCAGGGTCATGAGTCAGACTAAAATACAACCTTATTAAAGATTTTTTAAAACAAATGTCAAAAGAAGGAATTAATTTGTATTATAATCTACAGATGGGGTCTCCACAATGGCATTACCAAATATAGAAAAACATTGCCAAGGGATACCAGCATCAAAATGGTGACAAAAAGGACCCTCTTACTTCTCGTTGATGCGTAAATTTATAGCTGAAATACAATTAATTATTAATGCATTTCAAATAAAGCCACGGTCTTTGAAATTCAATATTTCCCCCACAGAATTAGCATTCACAGTACCTCACTGGTAACTTTGTTGACCCTCCGGACATTGACAAATGGAACGTCATTGGGGCCAAGTGTATACCCATGGGCCTTGATGTGTTCATAAACTTCTTTGTACTTGAACTGCAAAAGCCAAGTCAGAATAAGATCACTGATGGGTAAACAAAGAGCAGCATTACATTTCTCAAATAGAAAATAGCTGTCATTTTCATTTGAAAATTACTCTAAGCATTAAGTATAAGGAAAAGTCATTGAGAAAATTTTGATAGTAATCTGAGTCTTGAAAATTATTTTTTTGGCTAATAAAGCCAGGTCCAGAAAGAAATAAAATTCAGCATTGCCTAGATGAAATCTGTTTGTAGGCAGGTATGCAAAATATAAGAAAAAAAAATTCTAGCCCTGAGGGCTGGCCTGGTGGTGTAGTGGTTAAGTGCGCGTGCTCCGCTTCAGCGGCCTGGGATTCGCAGGTTCGGACCTCAGGCGCGCACCAATGCACCGCTTGTCAAGCCATGCTGTGGCGGAGTCCCATACAAAGTAGATGAAGACGGGGACAGATGTTAGCCCAGGGCCAATCTTCCTCAGCAAAAAGAGGAGGATTGGCAACGGATGTTAGCTCAGGGCTGATCCTCCTCCCAAAAAAAAAAAAAATATTATAGCCCCAATGTGGCTAGGAAATGCAAAGAAGAAACAAGAGAATATTTTTAACACTGATGAGTAGCTTTATGGACTGATTTAAAAAAATGACGTGTTAGGTGATGAAATCTGTGACTCTCTGCTTTGGAAACCACATTATTGGGCCACTGGCTATTAGACCCTGTCTGGCCAGCAGGTTTGATTCCCAGGATTCTGAAAGGCAACACGGAAGGGAGACCTTATTCTCCATCTAATGGCTGGTTTGTGGGTACGATCTGGATGTCAGAGTCACTGGGTTAGCCAACACTTCTCTAGGCCTTGTCCATGGGGTAAGCCCCAACCTGGCGCTTTTAAAAAGTGGGGAAGGTTAATGTCCGAGCTAATGCGTGGGTAAGCTACAGGTAATGAGAACCTATCTACCCCTTTTGAGCTTTCTATGAAATGGGCACAGAGGGTAAGTAGTGAGGCAAGTACCAGAGCCAGCAGCTGGGCAAGAAGTCCTTTCCTTTCAAAGGAACACACAGTGATGTTATACCTTCTGCAATGTTTCATTGCAGAAGGAAGACAATATTACCACCACAGATCAGTAGTGTGTGTATGAAGTTGCATTTCCTGCATATGGCTTGGGATAGTCCAGGATGCTTCTGTGCTAAGGGCAGCAAAAGTAGAGGCATCATGGCAGCCATGAACCCTGAGCCAACATAACTGACTCACACAGATGCAATCCCATGTAAGTCCTACGCTAACCCACTGGGCTGCCCAGCACTGCAGAATTGCAGGAGCAAGCCAATTCCACAGCACCCCTAGAAAATACACTGCCTCCCCTCCTCTACTCCCATCACTATATCATGTTGAAACTTCAGGGCGTGATTGGGTGGATGAGAACAGGCTATTAATAAATATTAGTGTCCCCCCTCCCACTTCAGACGCCATCTTAACAAAGAGGAGACCACTCACATAACTGCTCATGTATCGGGTGTCCTTCTTGTGTTTGAAGTGAGGGGTGTCCACTGGCAGCCTGTATCCAGTGGGCAGGGAGCGCAGGCCAGGTCCTCGGTACAGATTCTGCCAGAATGGGGAAGAGCGTGTTAAATGACATCTACATCACATAACCGATCCAAGTTAAACAAGTCATATCTGGCTCACATAAGATGTTCAATTAGGTGCTTAATGTTACTTATGCTTATATAAGTATTATGCTTATAATGATACCTATGCTCACTGAATTGATTTCAGGAAGAAATTAAGTTCTAAGAGTCCAGCAATGAATCAGATTACTCTTAACCTATTGTCTTTGAAAAAGAGAGCAATGAGTGAAGGGGCTTATAGAAAATAATTCTTCTATGCTTCTGAACATACGCCCAGTTGACTACATGGCATCGAGCAAAAATTTGGGAAAAGTATAGAAAGCAGGCAGCCAAGTGTCACCTCTGTCGTTAACCCCAACCTTAGGTGATATTTAAGCCATCACCAGTCCCTGAGACAGCCATAATTATAAGGCACATCTTTGGAATCCCACCCGCCTCATAAACACAGTGTCTTGGTGTCAGGCTATGAAGAGGTCAGGATGCTCATATTTCTGGCAGAAGGGGGAAAGGAGTTTCTCTCTGTGACCTTAAATAGTCTCTCAGGGGAGCTACAAGAGTAAGAATAGTATTTAAAATATGAAAAACCAAATTACTGTTAACATTCAGAATAGGAGAGTAGCATTAAAGGTTGAGACCAAAGTAGCACCACCAGGTAACCCAGAACAGAGACATTAAATATGAGAGTGGAATCTAGTTTCTTTCTCTTCTCAATTCCAACAGCAATTTCTAGCTTTATCTCTTATTGTTAATAGTCTTTTATGATTATATGCCTTGTCTTTGCCATCTTGATCTTAAGCTTTTTGAGAACAGAGATAACAGATTGGCCCTCATCTTTGTAACTTGTCAACATTGCTCTAAAAATGCCCATTGCTTGGGGCTGGCCCGCAGGTTCAGATCCCGGGCGTGCACCGACGCACTGCTTGGCAAGCCATGCTGTGGTGGCGTCCCATATAAAGTGGAGGAAGATGGGCATGGACGTTAGCCCAGGGCCAATCTTCCTCAGCAAAAACAGAGGAGGACCGGCATCGGATGTTAGCTCAGGGCTAGTCTTCCTCACAAAATAAATAAAATTAAAAAAATAAAAATGCCCATTGCTTGCTTGCTGGATAAGAGGACCCCGCCAGCCAAGAGAAAAGACAGTCTACGCGCTGTTTTGCATTTTGTTTTGCATTTACAATGTACAAGGTCAGGCTGAGAAGATGCTCAAGCCGAGGTCGTTTCTACAGAGGCCCATGGCCTGGCCCTCTCAGGCGGCGTCCCGCATTTCTGCTGGTCACTCTGTCCAGTTCTCACTGCTCACCTCACTCTGGAGCTTGTATGCGTGAAGGGCCCGGTCCAGATCCACGGTTTTCGTAGTTGGAGCCACTTTGCCTCTGACACTGTGCACGTAGTCATAGTGGTAGACAGCCTAGGTGAAGAGAGAAGCTGAGTGAGTGGATTCAGACTGCAGCAGCATTGTTAGAAAGAAGCAAAGTAAATGAAAACCCATGTCTCTCTTACACAAAAAAAAAGGTAATCTGCTTCCCTCTGCCTAGAGAACTCCATCTGATATATTATTGTGCCTGGTCCAACAGGATCAGAACCAGGCTGCGGACCCCACAGTGAGAAATCAGTGGAAGAGTCTGCTCAGGGATAAGACGATGAAGAGTGGGCATTTTACCTTTACGAGTCCCAAAACAACAGGTTTCAACGCTCCAACTCACTGGTGGGATTGAATATTTACTTATTAACCTGTGGGGCTAACAAAAGAAGAGCAGCTTTGTGCCTGTTCTGCTTGCGCTGTGTCAGGCATTACAGTGGGTGCCTTCCGTCCCCTTCCCCACTGCACACGTGAGAACGCTGAGCCTCAGAGGACTAAGCGAGTTCCCCAAGCCTCACAGACAAGGTGTGGTCGAGGCTGGACTCCACCCACGTCTCTAACTTCAGAGCCTGCTTCTTTCTCATCCTGCCATAGTTAGCTCTAATTTATTAGAAGGCCTAGACAGGGAGTCATAAACTGTTGCTCTTGACACAGGATACAAAAAGCAACTTTGGGGGGCCGGCCCAGGGGTGTAGTTGTTAAGTGCGCATGCTCGGGCGGCCCGGGGTTCTCGGGGTTTGGATCCCGAGTGCGCACCGACGCACCGCTTATCAAGCCATGCTGTGGGGTGACCTATATACAGTAGAGGAAAACGGGCACAGGTGTTAGCCCCGGGCCAATCTTCCTCAGCAAAACAGAGGAGGATTCGCAACAGATGTTAGCTCCGGGCTAATCTTCCTCACACACACACACAAAAAAGCAAAGAAGCTCAAAAATGTCAAGTATTTCATAGACTTAGATCACTTACAACTCCACCCCGGGGAACTGATTGACCACATCAGGTTTTAGGAAACAAGAGCAAATCTTAAGTACTTTCTAAGGCACCAACTCTGGTTTCCCAGTTAGAAAAGGCCTGGCACTGCCCAGTCTTTCGTTTTTGCTACTTCTGCTTGCGCCGTGGCCCTGTCTTTATCACTGTCCGCAGTGGGCACTTACATCACTTAGTTGTTTCCCACTTTTGACAGCCTGCACGTAGACTGGAGTATCAGTGACCAACTTGTAGTCGTTCCTCGTTTTCCGCACGTGCTCTTTGTATTTGATCTGCCGAGAAGAACATAAGCCTGTGTTAGACCATTCATTATGTTAGAAATTACTGGTTTCACAGAGGGTTTGGTTGCTTTTAAGTCATGGCATTTACATTCACTAACACTTATTCAACAGACCAGGATGCATTTGAATTTTATAACAATCAGCTGTAATCAAGGCTTATAGTCATATAAAGCTTCTAGTGTCTTCTAGGAGGCTTGACAACCAACTGTTCTTCTAGGAAAGTTTAAGCTTTCTTACTGAAATACTGATTTCAGTGTTAATTTGCTTAGCAAATTCTCTCTTTACAAATAGATCCCGTCTATAGCATCACAAACTCCTAACAAAAGAGATTTTCCTATAATGAGAATTATGTGCTCATTAATATATGCAAAACAGTCCAAAAGGTGGAGAGAAAAGCCAGGAGTCTCTTCTCTCCCAGAACACAATGGGACAGCTCAACTGCATTCATTGCTTAATAGGAATATCAAATGTATTACTGAGAAATGGCTGCTCTCTATTCCTTAGCATCTTTCTCCAGCTCAGCCATCCTCAACACCACTTAAGACACAGCTGGTCTATGACAATGTCCATACTCTCTCCTTGACTCTAGACTATGTAGAGAAGGATACACACTTAAAAAAAAAAACAAAACAAAACAGGGCAAACTCACATCATTGCGTAGATCATAAGCATGTTTGGCATGGAGAATTTCAGGAGTGTCCCAGACGTAGCAACCAATGCCTTTCAGCCAGTTGAGGTCATCCTTATACACAATCTAGAGGATTGCAACAGATGGAGAGGGTCAGAAAAATGAAACTTGACTCTAACTTTAACACCAAAGACATGGACACCCTCTGGACCCAAGATGACTTTGTGTAATGAAAAGCAAAAGGCATTATGCAATGAGGCCGAGGGTGCTATGGAAACATGGGCACACACAGAGCCCTGCTTTCAGGGACAGCTCTGAATTCCATTAGGATCCATGGGTATATAGGAAAGCAATACTGGAAGAAGGCTGAGGTGAAGAAATAGGTGAGTCCGCTTCTCTTCAGGGTAGGCATGTGCGCTCGGGGTGGGAGGACCTTCATAAGTAATGAGCTTACGTCGCTGATCTGATCTGTGACTTTCCTGACGTGACTGTTGACTTGCAAGTCAGGGTGGCAAATCCACTCATGGAGGTGTAGGCGATAATCAATCTCACTGACTTTCTTTTGAGAATCCTTGGCAGTAACCATCTCTACCATGTCGGGCACGATGTGGATTTTCATCTTGTTCTTTTCATAAACTGATCTGTACAGGCGCTGTGAAGGTAAAATAACATGTCTGTTATACAGCAAATCGTGCAAGGTGTCATGGCAATGCATGCCTTTCTTGTATACCACAGAAGTCAGGGTAGCCAACTTACAGCAATCAGTTGGGGCATGGTGGGGATTGGAATTTTCTGACACTTTCTACAGATTCATGGGGGCAGGGGAAGCAGCATGGGCTGAAATCACACTTAGCGTCTTCACATATGCATGGTGAGTGCCATATGCGTTACTAGAAAATGTTCTGAGTTAGAATAGATGGCTCCATTACTTGGCTTCAATTTGAAGTAAGCCCTTTGAGATTACTTACGTCAATGTTCAACTTGCCGACTCTGAGGCACCGCGCTGTATTCGGATCATCTTCAACACTTTTTGGCAAAGTATAAAGAGCTTTGAATTTTTCATATTCTTCTCGATATTTGACCTATAGAGAGAAAGCACAAAGGAAGAAACATAGTTTTGGAGAGTACTGGATCTACATTGTTAAAAGAGCATGAGCCTTAATTGGAAGGACCCGACTCTGAGACCCAGAGACTTGGGGTCGGCACTTCTCTGAGCTCGTTTCCTCATCTGTGCACAGAGGTAGGGGTATAGCGTTGCACCTGCCACAGGGTTATCCTGAGGATTAAATCAAACTATATCAGACAGTACTTTCTAAACTGTAGAGAGCTATAAAATTTTAGTTACTGTTTTTAAAACTCCTATACCAATACTAGTACTTCTACTGCTACTACAATTAACTTTTTAAAGATTACATAATTTTTAAAATAATCTCTTTGGCGATAATGGCATTGTTTTTCTTAGCCATAAGTGAAAGCTGAAAAATGTGCTCAGGAATTTCTCTGTTTTTAATAACTGAAAAGCCTGATGCTTTAGAGACACAGTCCTTGAATTTCAGTTTCTACAAGCTTTTCCAAAAATACAATGCAACTAACTTCTGTGGGAAAGCCAACTTTTAGTTCTTAAGTCATATTGCCTATTAATTAATAATCCATGATTTCATGAACTAGGAAGTAAGGCTCTTAAGGAGACTGAGATCCAATCTCCTAGCACATGAAAAAAATAACAATTCTCTCACAACTCAGAGGCCCACATCTCAGTAAAAAAAGGGGAGATGAGGGTATTTGTGTAAGAATTCCAGTAAAGACCTTCACTGACTGGAAACCAACCAAAATTCTCATCAGAATTTTCCGGAAAGTTAGTTCATATGCTCCTAACACCCAGCCAATACCTCAGTTACAAAGAAGATAGTATTCAAAGTCATCTTTTTTTGTTTTAAACTATGGTTGGAATCTTCCTTTTAAGGGGTTAATTGCTCTGTTTTGCCTCATTCCAAGAACAACTTGCCAGGAATCTTGCCTCTATGACTTTTCTCAGGACTAAAGGAAAAAGTCTCTGCTGAGCTTTCTAAATCCTATCTACAAAACTTCTCTCCCCAATGAAAAGCTTGCTCCTGTGGGCTAGTCTGTTTGCAGTCTTCCAAATACAGTTGGGGCTGGGCAAAATCATATGTATTAGTTTTTCCTCCAGCTAAAAATTAAATTAATTCCATGTATTATCTAACAAAGTCTTTTTCTAAATTATGCATCTCTAGGCCCAGGAGAGGGTAGTGAAGTCAATTTACTAGATCGCTATCATTTTAAATAAATAGAATAGAATTGAAATACTTAGAGTCCATTGTCTTTAAGTGTAGCTGTTAAGTACTCTTCTGTAAAACGTTATGTCAGAAGGAACTCATAAACTTCAGGGGTGTGTGTATACGTCAGTGTGTGTGAATGTGTGTTGACTTGCAATGTAAAATAAATTTCTCTCCATGGGTCTTGGTCATAAAAAAGGTTTGAGAAGTACTGGTCTAAAATATGATATAAAATGTTCATAATTAAGAGGTAAATGTCTCTAAATGATGTCAAGTTTCTGAAAGAGAACTGGGTTTATTAGAACATCAGTGAAGGTTAGGGGAAATTTTATAATAAAAGGTTTTACTTAAGAATATTCTAGACATAAACCGTTAAAGGTCATAAGACTTTATACTATATTTAAACAACTCATGTGATTTAGGATTTTTTTTACAATTATGTCCATATCTAAGAAAAGTTCTGCTTTAAAAAAGTAGAATTTCAAAAGATTTTTAAATTTTTATATTTCATAGCTATAAAGATTATTTATTTTTTAATCATTTATTTGGGGATGGTGTAATAACTAGTTTTCACATTCACTAGTTTATTTTTGTACTAAAGGCCACATAATTCTATTGCAAAAGAGTCTATTTTGTGTGGAACATCTATCTATTCCCGCCTCTGGCTAAAACAGGGTATATGTATCCATGTTGTCTGTAGGCAGCCTCAAAGATCACATCTGTGTCCTTATTGCAAGTGTTTGTGATTCTTTCTGGACTTCAGGGCCCTTGAGAGGAAGAAGTCAAGTGCACAGACTTGATGATGACTGGGCCTCTAGAGTTACTTGCTGGTATACCCCTTTGGAAGTGCGGGGAGTACTTCTGGGCAACGTATGAATCAGCCGGAAAAATTCCTGGAGTGGAGAACAGGGGAAGGCAGAGGGTGGGTAGGAAGGCTGGCAGATTTATACTTGACTTACAATGCTGGCCATATGCTTCTGGTTCTTGGCGTGTGTCAGGGACAAGGTGTTGGAAGGCAGGATGTAGCTGGTGGCTTTCACTTTATCCCAGGCCTCCTTATACAGGTTCTGTAGGGGTTAAAAATCGTGAATACAGAAAAATGCGTTCTGGTTATTTTTCAGGAATGGATTTTTCCTCTGCTTCTGTCCTTCTTAGACACTCCCTAACAACCCACAGATCTTCTCACTCTGTAGGATTCAAGTACTCCTAAATGAATAACTGGTTTAATGCCACGACCATAATTTCACAGTCCGTTGTTTTGTTGTTTATCATAGTATTTGTCCCAGTTTGACAGTTATTAGAGTTTTTGATGCCATATTCGTTCCCCATAGGTCTAGGAATTCCTGGAGGATGAAAACCACTAACTTAAAAAAAAATCTGTTTATCCTTCCTTACCTTTTTGGTAGCTAGTGGGAGCTCAAAAAATGTTGCCATTCCTAGGAATTTATTATTTAGGTACATACAAAAACCTATATGCAAATGTATATAGTAGCTTTATTCATAATTGTCAAAAACCAGAAACAACTCAGATGTTCTTTAACTGTGAAGGGATAAAGAAACTGTGGTACATCCATGCAGTGGAATACCATTCTGCAATAAAAAGAATAAACTACTGATTTACACAGCAACGTAATATATAAATGCATTTTGCCAAGAGAAAGAAGCCAGACCTAGTAGCTACATACTATATAATTCCATTTACATGACGTTGTAGAAAAGGTAAAACCATAGGGACAGAAAACATCTCTGCAGATGAGGGGGAGAGGAGACAGACAGCAACAGGGAAATTTTGGGGTGATATAGAACTTTTTTGTATCTTGACTGTGGTGGTGAATACATGACACTATGCATTTGTCAAAAGCCATAGTACTAGATACCACAAAGTGTGAAATTTACTGTGTGTAAATTAAAACAATCAGTCAGAATGGGGGAGGGGACTAAAATGGAATACAAACTGTAACAAATAAGTCTAATTATATTACAAATGCTTAACAAGACTAAACTGAAGGAAGTGGGGTAGAAAATAATTTAAGTTCTTTTGGAAAATAGTATCTTGACTGGATATTCTAAGGGTATGGATAAAAATAACTATACAAAATACTATACTCTAGTTAGTAAATTTGTTTCTCACAGGGGTATGGGTTAGCAATTCTGAAAAATATTTTACGTGCATACAAAAGTTGAACAAATAAGTAAATATATTACAGATAATGATCCAGGCTTTTCATTGGAAAGAAAAAAAAAAAGTTATAAGTTGGAAGAATAAGGAAAGGTAGAAGTTTGGAATGAACTCTGTGGTGTTGAATTGCATTGGAGGCATCAGTATGAACTCATGGTTTTAAAATATAGATATAGTTAGGTAAGTAGAGAAATAAATATAGATATGTATGCATACACAGGTTAGTGGATGTACATATGTTTCCCAAGCTCTGTCCACTTAAAGGGTCTAGAAGCAATGATACCTCGGTAGCAACGAGCACACCTAATGCTTAGATTTGGTTTTGAAATACCATTCTTTAATAAATCAACCAGGACTCCTTGGAGAGGTGGTTGATTCCAGGTCTAGAGCAGGGAAAATACAAGATGAGCCTCGAGCATCTTGTGGCGCCAGAAAGTAAGGAAGTGCTCAAAAAACACAATGATGGGGTATGTCAAGGGGACACACGACCCACTCTGAAAGAGATCCCAAAGGTCAAAGCAGAAACAATTTAGCAACAAAATAAACAACAATAGTATTAGACTATATCCCATAGAATAAAATATATATCCCTAAGTCTATACTGCTATAAATAAATACACAAATAAACAAATGGTGGGGAAGCAATAGTTTTTCCTTGCAGAAGAATTCCAATTAATAAATGTAGAAGGAATGAGGGAAAGAGAAATCACCAGTCGGTATATTCCACAGTAATAATTGTTGCAGACAAAATCCATCAATGGATGCTAAATACGTGAGACAAAGTTTGAGGAGAAACAATATTTGCATAGTCCCAAAGGATCTCCTCCAAGATATTTATTAATAACAAAGGGAGGGGGAGAAGTCAAGATGGCGGCGTAGGCAGACTCTGAACTCATCTCCTCCCGCGGACACAGCCAATTTACAACTAGTCGTGGAAAAATTACCCCTGAGACAGAACTGAAAACTGGATAAGAGGAACTCCTGCAACAAAGGACAATCCTAATTGAGGTGAAAGAGGCAGAAACTCCCTTCTGGAGAGGAAAAACTCCGCCTTCACAAGCCGCAGCGCCTCAGGGCTGCCTGGGAGCAGCCCACGGGTACACAGCCTCCCTGGAGGGGTGGGGCCCTGAGCCAGGGAGTGCCCCCGCTTTGGGCATTTTGTGGACCCAGCACAAGCGAGACGAGTGGCATAATATCTGACTTTGCCTGCTACTAAAACATTGGGGAGTACCCCCAGAAAACCTGGTTCACAAAGAAATTAAAACCGACTCTTAAAGGGCCCACGCGCAAACTCACCCGTCTCAGAAAGCATCCTAAAATCACCGGAAAGAAAGGTGCATAGTGCTTTGGTGAAAAGAGACTCAACTGATAGGCCCTGAGTGCATCTCAGTGAGAGGTGAGACCTCTCCAGGGACTGGGACATTGGCGGCGGCCATTGTTGTGGCCTGGTGTGGGCGTGCTGACACAGACGCCATTGGAGTTCTCCCTGAGGCCTGCTAGCCCAGGTCTGCCCCACCCACTAGAGTACAGATTTAATCCAGCTCAGCCAGCGCGGGCAGCCCACCCTAGAGACTGGCCCCACCCAACAACAAGCCCTCAGGCAACTTGTGGGCCTGCATAGATTGGTGACTGGATTCTCTGAAGCCTGGCAACTGAGCCAACTTCAGTGGGGCAGGGCGTGCAGAAGGAGCGGGTGGAGAGTGTGAGGTGGTGGTGGAGTGTGTGGGGCTCCCGCTGTGGAGAGACTGGGTCCACTTCGGGAGGTCGGGGCACGCACACTGGGCAGGATTGTGTTGGCTGTGTGTGTGGACCTGTAGATGGCAGGGCTTGTCAGCTGCAGCAGACTTGTGCTTCTCAAAGACCCACAT